AAAAAAAAACGAAAGAAGCGGATAATGATTCTACATAAATGAGATCACGCAATTTTGGCTGATTCTTACTCCCCCAACTCCCCCCATCCTTTCTTCTATACGTACTTTATTTCACCAGTCAACCTCCTTCTCCCCCCTCCCATCATCTTAAAGTCACGACATTATTTAATGACGACACCAAATTCTATTTGTATTTCAAGTAAAAAGTTCAACTTTTATTTAATTTTGTCTGGCTCATTTATCAACGATGAATTTAATGTGCGATTGATTTAGTATTTTTTTCCCCAAATAATTTAAAAAATACGCCGTTTAATTATTTGATTCAACTTGGAGACAAGTTTTTCAGTTTAGATCTTTCAAATTTTTTTCTCTTTTTGCTGAAGATTGGCTATAGATAGAGTCTTTCTGCTATTTAATTGGTTTTTTTTTTAGGAAGCTCTTTATTAAACTACAATTCTGTTTCTTTGTTCTTACAGATACTAGTAGGGATAATTTGCTCTAAAATAAATAAATTTTAGGCATTAGCATGTTATGCGCTATACAGGTCGTTGACTCCAATTTCAACCGGCTTTTTTTTCTGGGTTTGCCCCATTAGCTTTATCGCCCCCCTCCCCCCTCCCTCCAAGAGCAATCTGCAGTTCAGGAGTGTTTTAATTGATTTTCACATTAATCACCCCCCCCCCCCCCCGAAACGTTGGTCAATAGGCATTAGGCACGTGGGCGTCCGCAGGATTGGCGGTTTTTTTTTTTTTTTTTTTGCAAGGCAGGTTATGCTTACAGGCGTAGTATAAATATAATTAGGATATATATATATATATATATATATATATATATATATATATATATATATATATATATATATATATATATATGAATATTTTTATCTCGTTTCTTTTTTTTTTGTCTCTTTAGAGTTTTTAAAATACATAAAAATACATAAATTATTCGGGAGCAAAAATAACAAATGCAAGGCATTGAAGTGTTAAAGTGTCGTGCGATACGCGCCATATTCATCAATCTGATAATGAGTCGTGTTTCCCTCCTCATACCCAGACCCCAAAAAAGTCTGGAAGAAACACTGATCCCACCCACGCTATATTTATCAAGTAAACCATATTGTTGTAACAAATAGAGTCGCATTTCCTTCTTAGACACATCCCCCTCACCGCAACACCATCTATCCTACCCAGGCAATCTTTTTTATCTTAACCATAATCTTGTAACAAATACAGTCACATTATCCCCCTTACCCCATATAACATACCCTGGCATCCTACACATCTTAACCTTATCTTGTAAAAAATAGTAATTTAGCATAGTATTTACCATAGTAATATTTCCTTCCTTCCTCCCCTCCCCCTCCCCTCCCTTCCCCCCCCCCCCCACTTCCAGACTTTTTTCTTCGGGGGGGGGGGGCACTTGATATGTTCGGGGGGAGGGGGGGGTCTACATTTTCCGGGGAGGCGGACACTAGTAAAAGTATATGTTTACTATATAAACTCTGTTCCCCCCCCCCCTCTACACTATCCGCACTAAACATATCTTGTAATAAATACATTTAAATGTTAATTACGTCTGAAATAGAAATAGCCCGACAACTTTAAAAAAAAAAAAACCGCCCACTTTTTCCGGAGCGTACCGACTGACCCGAGTCTATTACGTGAAAGTTCCGAGTCTAATTATTCTTGACCAATTAGTCTAAGAAACAAAGGTCGGCCTGACATTTGGACTGAACTAGAGCCACCCCGGAGTTTGTGCCCCCTGGGACGTGTTGCTCCTGTATCGAGTTAACCATGTAATTGGTGGTGTAATGGATAATGTAAGCCCGGGCTTCATTTTAAACCTTTAATTATAACCTTTGTCGATTAGATGTAATCTTTTAATAATAAATAAAGTAATCTTCTGGTTAAACAAATTTAGATGATGTAGAAAGTAGATCTTAGATAAGGTGAATGGATTTCTCTACTCCCCCCCCCCCCCCTCCCGACTCCCTTACTGGTTAGCTTGGAGCAATTAACTCCCACTCTCGAAAAGTCTCCCCCCGCTCGTGAAATGTCCGAAAAAAACTCGTGTCTAAGTAATTCTAAGCACACTGTGGCCAGGCTCTTTCAGGTAAACCCCCCCCCCCCCCCATCCCACACGAAATAATATATATATTAAATATAGATATAATTTATAAAAAAAATACTGTCTTCCTTCCTCCCCCATCTTTACTTTTCCTATTCCACTTCAGAGTTTCTTCCAGGCATCTCTTCAAGTCAGAGGCGTAGCGAGGGGGGGGGGGGGGGGGGGGGGAGGGGGGACATATGTCCCCGGGCGCCGACCTTAGGGGGGGGGGCGCCAAATTGAAAGTTTGAGGGGGGGGGTTGCAAATGAAAAGTTCGAGGGGGGGGTGCAAATCGAAAGTTTGTCCCCGGGCGCCGGGAAGGGTCGCTACGCCTCTGCTTCAAGTGCACCCCCGGAGAAAAAAGTCTGTAAGAAACATTGTTCCACTCCCCCCCCCCCCCTTCCCACCGCGGTGAAAGAAACCCTAAGACACTAAACTTTAAAAACCCAAACCATACAAGAATATAAGAAAAATAATTCAAAGCATTATGTAAGCCTACATTTTGTTCTTTTTTTTTTTTAACACTGCATGTTCTGTTAGGTCCCTGGGGAATATCAGCTATTCAAAATTCTGCAGCAATATCCGGAGTGCCCAAAAAATTGCTTGAAATTTTGAAGAAAATTAAAATTTTCCTTTCACTTTTTAGAATAAGGAGTCATCCATAAATGACGTCACGCTTTTTTTGGACGATTTTACCACCCCCCCCCCCCCCCGTCACAAAAAGCCAGACCCCCACTAAAATGACGTCACACCTCAGCCTACAACCCCCCTCAAAATTGCTGTTGAATTTTTCTTGAAACATCGATACTTTTTCCAAAATCTTGTCAGAATTCTGTCAACAGAGTATTTTGATCAATTCCTATTATAATTTATTAAAACCGATTTCTCAAACGCGAAATAACGGCTAAAACTAGTTTTCCAACATTGCTTAACTGTTTATTATAATGCAAAAAAAGTGACGTCACACCATCTGAACGCCCCCCTCCCCCTCATCACACACCGTCACAAAATTACGGACCCCCCCCCCCTACGAATTGTGACGTCATTTATGGACGAGCCTAAGTGAAGGATGGTTGACATTATGTAGAAATACATTTTTACTTCAAGTGAAAAACTATTTCTAACAATAAATTAGATTTTATCAATTTAATTAATTTTAGCATATTTTTTTTTAGTTTAATTTAAATCCAAATAATATAATTTTTTGTTTCCAAATGCCAATAGTTCATAAGCAGCGACGCAACGAAACTCGATTAAATTTTAAGTTTAATCAAAGCAGGGAGATAACCGAAACAACAAAGCTTTAAAACTGAATTAAAAGCGTCCAAAAAATGGGCAAGAGGAGATTTAGAACACTGAATGAACTATCATTAACAGTGTCTTGTCCACTTTTTTCTCCGCGGGGAAGGGGGGGGGGGAGGCACTTGAAATTTTCGGGGGAGGGCGGACACTGTTAAAAGTATATATTTTCTATATAAATTCCATTTCGTACAGGGGTGTAGACAGAAGAAACTGATCATTAACCTGTGTTATTTTAATAACAAAGAGGTTATCCCTGTCTATTATCAGAAGCTCATTCATTAGAAGCTGGTTGTTTTATTTTACTGTGACGTAGAATCCTTGCTAAACTTTTTAACAGGAGAGAAGCTTGCTATTTTTTTTTTCTATCTTTTTTTTACATAAATTTTGTTTAAATAACGGCATTAAAATTTTATTTGAAAAAAAAATGTAACCATGTAAAACTACTACTTCAAATTGTTGTCTATTTCTAATTGTGATTTGAGAACTGATGTACTGTGTGACCTTCAGTGTATAAGCCACTCCCCACCCCTTCTGATTGGTAATTATGAGCTTTGCCACTCATTTCACTTGAGAAAATGTTTTTTTTAAATATGACGAATATCTTTGCCCATATTACCTTAGACCCCCTTTGAAACATATTTCAAGTTAAATGTGAGATGTTTTACAATTGATGGTGTTACTTTCTAAAACTATAATAAGACTTTAAAATCCCCTCAATAGCTTCATGTTTGAATAGATATGTAGAGATTCAAACCACAAGGACACATTCTGTACCAAATTTGTAGGTTGGTCTTTAACTTTTTATCTCAAAATGGCAAACTTTTACATAGAGAGGGATGAGGGTTGTGTTGTTTCTTTCAGACATTTTTTTTTCAGTAGGAGGGCAATTTTGAAGTCATTTTCAATATAAATTATTTATTTTTTCTCTATCATCTGGTGGCAGGTGGTGATAGGCATGGGGGAAGGGGGGGGGGGGGGGGAAAGAAAAAGCATGTGCTTGTGTATTCACCAGTTTTTATAACCACTGAACTAAGCTGACCAGTGTAACAAAAAACAAATGTACTATTGCATGCCCTTACATTGTCCCAGCAATGTGGCTATAGACAACAACAGGTCATCATGGACAGCTCTTGTCAAAGAGTACATCACTCACATCAGTCTAATGTAGAAATGTTTATATAAACTTTGTATCTGGATCTATTGTGTCAGTCTCATCAGTACAACACACATCAAAGTTACTGATATCTTGTAAACAATTTGTTTTCCATGTGGCATTTGTACTGTCAACAACTCCAAAACATAATTGTGACATAGGCCATTATTTCATCACCTGCATTTTATAATTGAGTTAATTAAAAAAGTTTTTTTTAAAGTGTGGACAAGTTATGTGGCATTTGTACTGTCAACAACTCCAAAACATAATTGTGACATAGGCCATTGTTTCATCACCTGCATTTTTTAATTGAGTTAATTAAAAAAGTTATTTTTTAAGTGTGGACATGTTATGTCTAGCAACAAAATCTGTAATTTGTTTTGTGCAACAATAATTGAGAGGGGAAGAAATCAGGTTAACATTATGCTGTATTCACCAATTAACATATTCATATTCGTTTTTTAAATTATTTTTATTGACAGTTCATAGATCAAAACCAACAACTAACAAAGCAGACAAATAAAATAAAGAATTTAATTAAAATATATTCATCATCTTTTAAATTTCTTTTTGGCTACCAACTTTTTCTGCCCTTGTGAGAATTTGTTTTTAAGTGGCCTCCCTTTGCCACCTTTATGACCTGGTTTACCTCCCTTCCTCTTCTTGTCCTTGAGCCAGAATTCCCTTTGTTTCTCCCATGCCAGTTGTTTTTGTGCTGTAAACAATAACATACACAATTGGTTCATGTACAAACTTCTCCAGGTTTAGCATTTGTAATCAAAACACATTTAAATATTGGGTGCTACCAAGATAGGAAATATCTTCAAAATATTTAAAACATTAGAAAAGATTTTAAATTATTTTGTGTAGGGGAGGGGGGGGGGGGGAGGGGAAGGGTTAAAGGTTCACTAGTGTTATGCTATTACATGCTTGTATATTTTAATATTAACATCCCGAGCCTTCATTCATAGTTACACTTTCGGACTTGGTGGTCTCACATGGGAGCTGAAGTAGAGTTTACCTGCTTCTGCAACCTTGGCATACTAAAGGATCAAGTGGTCGATACTACTTTACTCATAGTCAGGTACCCATCCAGAGCTGGGTGGACTCGACACCCTACAGACTTAGGCCAATTATCAGAACCCAAAACTTTGGGGTTAACAGTCATGAGCTCTACCCCCCGACCACACCACTTACATCCCTAGCATTGTCTTATAATGATGTACCTATTCTAACCTTAAAAAAACCTGAAACAACAGTCCATGAAAAAAAAATTCAAACTCTCAAACTGAATATTTTACCTGCTTTGTCTTTGTTTATCACATCACCAGTGCCTCCCAGCGAGACCTGGTTGCCTTCTGTTTCCTCCTCAAGCAGGTGAGCAAATTCTTCAGCAGACGCAAACAAGTTTGTAGTGTCGTCTCTGAAGTTAAAAAAAAACAATTGTTTATTCTTCCAATTGGTAGAATACAGCCAGCAGTTACAAACAGAACAAAGTGCAAACATGGAAACTTCTCTCCCTTTTTAAAAAAAATATAAATAGACCAAATTTGTAACTAGGGACAAAAAGTTTTAAGAAAAGAAATGTTGACAACACTGGTGAATAATAGATTAGGTTCATTCTATACTTTACATAATACATAATTTTCTTTCAGTTAGGTTTTGCGTTATTAAATACTCCATACAGATTTCATAAGCCAGGTAAATCAATGAGTATTCCAAAATCCCTTATTGACTCCACAATAAAATAAATTTGATCTCCACTTTGGTAATATAAAAAAACCTTACTTGTTTTTCTTCTTCCCAGCCATTTCTTTTCTCCCTTTTTTCTTGTTTTTGCCAAGGCTTGGCTGCATCATTGTTTGGAGTTCATCTATGGAAATACAACAATATTTTGGTTTGTTGTAATGGGAAGGCTGTTTTTAATATCTTTGCCCTTAAGGGTACTAGTTTTTACGTACATATTCAAACCACCCTAATAAAATGTAACCATTTTTTAATAAAAATACAATTTGATGATGAATTTAACTACCACACAAGGTAAGCTATGATTGTACTAGAATATATTTGTGTGCTAAATTTTTACAATACCAGTTAATTGTATTATATAATATAACTGTTAGCTGTAAATTTGTAAATGATTTCAAGTGTTAAAGATATGATTGGTAGTGACAATCCTCATGAGGCTGGTGACACTAATCAGCTAATTAATGACTAATTACCGTCTTCGTCCGGTGAAAACTCCACCTCCATCTGGCTGTCATCGAAATCCATGCCAGACATTTCCTGATTAAACTCCGCAGCCAGTTCATCATCAGAGAAATCCACATCATCATCGTCGTCAACATCATCAGCATCACTTTCTTCACTCTCAGACTCTTTAGCCTTAGGGGTTGCCTTGTTTTTATGTTTGTCTCTGTAAGTAACAAAGGCGTTATGCAGATTTTAGACAAATCTAAAAATAAATCATTTATATTCCGATACCTTAACACAAAATATATCATTATCGTATCATCTAAAAAATTACAATTTTGAAAAAATTGAACTGGATGTAGTTTCAATTTTTACACTTCTTTTCGAAAGAAATAATTTAAAAAAATGTTAAGTACTATCATGTTATATTTCAACATAAAAATAAAAATTTAGTTTGAGTAAAGTTTATTACAAAAATAGTTTTAAAAGATATTTAAAAAGTTATGCATGCAGATGAATTAAAAAATCCTGAAAACTACAAAACTAAGTATAATTTAAATCAAGAGGTAAGGGAATTAACCCATGAGGGAAAAGTCATCAAGACATGAGTTGTCTCATTAACTCACCCAGCAAAATCTAGATCCATATCATCCAAGTCATCATCTCTGTCAACATTTTTTTCAAAGTTATCTGCAGTTAGAGAAAAAACAAAATGACCATGAAACACCCAGGGGTTATAAAATTGTTAATATTTTCTTTGGTATGTAAGTGGTATGATTGATTTTGCATATATTATTTAACACCTTGAGCTCATTTATCTTATTTAATTATTTATTAAACTAGATTTACAGCACAGAATATTCCACACACCATTTTTTTAAAAAAATTTAATTTTGATTTCTGCTTTTTACATTGAATTTTATAATTAGTTTTAAATATTATTATAAATTAGCAATATTTCAAGAGTAATCTGTCAAAATGATTTTATTTCCTATGACGAAAGTTAAATTAGTTGTTTGAAAGTGCATCTATAAGCTATGTTTTTAAACATAATGATAAAGAATCAGAGAAAAAATGTCAACAGCGAATGATTTAACTTACCCAAGAAAGCATCAAACTCCTCATCTCCCACACTCCCATCATCACTGTCATCATTGTCTTGGACCCTGTTGGCTCTTTCATTGAAGTACCTGAAACATCAATAAACATTTTAGTACTGTAAAGCCATGTAACCATTTGGATTATAAGTCAAGTAAAATGTTGAATGTCTCAAGTCTGTAGGATGTCAATGAGTCCATCCAATACCTGACTCATTTTAGGGAAACAAAGACGGCTGGGCATAGTGCTGACCACACTATCCCCTTTATGTATAGATGATTGAAACAGATGAACTCTACTTTATTTACCCCATGTGTCTTGGGCACGAACAGGAAAAGACGATGAAGATGAATGTCACATACTTGTCAAACATCAACTTATGTCTACTAATGTTCTGCATCATTTGATAGTGATATGTTGAATGTCATGTAATGTATTGAATACGTAACATTTTGAATGACATCTGATCATTATAGAACGTAATGTAATGTATTGAATTTCTTTAACATTACGGATGTTGTCTGATCATGCTGAATGTCAAGTCAAATGTTTAATCAACGCTATAAGGCAGACTGAACGTCACCTAGATATGAAAAGTAAAACACCTGGCTGTAACTATTACCTGTAAAAGAACTTCTCATCCTCAGGTACATTGCTCTCCCCCAGTTCCAGAAACTCCCTAGAGTTGACAGGTATGGCCCTGATCCCTCCAGGTCCCGCTTTCTTAAACTGACCCCACTTTTGTTGTTGTTCTGTTGATGGTAGGGGTGCAAACAGATCAATAAAAAATATTTTTAATGGGTCTAAGAATGATAATCAAAAATTACATTAAGAGGAATGTAATTAACACAATAATTTTTTAACTTCAGGTATGCATCAGAATAAATAATAAAGATATTTTTACAGTAAAAACTTCACATTTAGGATAACATGGTCAAGCAATAAACACATGCACACATAACTAATAGATAACCAAATCTGATCAGAGAAAGCTTAAGTGGGCATAATCATACAATCCTTATACATGGCAAAGTTATATAAACAGAAAACATATTTTTGCACTGCATAGCTAGGCCTTGAAACATGCCAATTAAGCCTACTGTCTTATAAACTAAAAACTTATTCCATAATTTCAATAAGTTTTACTGTTCTTTAAATAGTTTTTCGGAGAAGTGTAGACTGTAGTGTATGAATATACCTGACCAAACAGAAACACAACAGATATCTGTGTTACACGGTACATAAAGAGGAACTAAGGTAGAAACGTACCACCCAGATTTTTCTTGGGATTCTTGTAAACAAACCTATCCAGAAAGCGGGCCAAGGTGAAGTCTTTAACTGGATCACCATCGTATTCTATAGGCTCCTCCTAAAACAACAAAGAACAACTACATTTAGAATTTAAAATTAAAATGTTGTGCATTTATGATTAAAAAACTGCCTTATATTTGCAGCATAAAATATAAATATGATATACTTTATTTTAAAAATTACTATTAAACAAACAACAAATAATTCATATCCTGTATAATAATTGGCTGTAACTTGAGTATGGGGGGGGGGGGGGGGAGAAGAGAGAGAAAGAGGGAGGGTGAACACAACAAATATTTCAGAATTAAACATATGCTTTTTGTTTTCTTTTTTTTTCTCCTTTTTATGCTTGTTATCCAACAGGTTGTTATGCTTGTTTTAAAATTTCTATATAACTAGTATTTATCCTGGTACAAGAAACGTGACAGACCTTAAGGATAGATGCAGCGTACAGCCTGACAGTGGGGTGGTAGTGTCTGGTTAACTGCTGCAGCTCCCACACAAGTTCCAGCTCGGCACGGGAGTACAACGGGTTTCTGCTATAGGGGTCATAGTCTGCTGCATGACCTGTGAAAGATGTTGCCATACGATCACATCCCAATCATAAAACATTTGAGACAGTTTTATACATTATTCTTAATTGTTATAAAAACTTCTGCCAAGGGATCATGCTTTGCTACATTACTAAAACTAGCTAAAGATAAATGACAAAAGTGCACAGAAAATATTTTTAAACACTTTTTGTATAATATAAAGGAGCAAAAATATAAGCCCTGCATACAATCCCATAATATGCTAGTCTACTTCATATGGAGGTCTAAGAAAGCTGAAACATTATATTTAATTTGTAAAGGGTAGAATCTACATTTAATACTTAGTTTTAACTTAAAAAAAAACAAGGTTACCTACCTTGTCCACCAACATTTTTCCGATGAACCCAAGACGACTGGGTTTTAGTCTGTGTGTTGGTCTCAGTGTTACCCTTGTCCACCTCCTCTGTCATGCTGACCTCTATACTAGGTGTCACAGTACTATCGTCAGGATCTGGTTGGTCAACAAAATGTTCCTCGTCATCATCATCAAACCACTGACCCTGCAATAGTACATCAATATCCCAATTAGTGAGCTGGCATACAACTTCTAACCAACAATATCCTAATTATAGAACTGGCATAAATCTCTGACTGACCAACAATATAACAATTACTGAAGTGGCATACATCTGACTGACCAATGAATACATGTGATAAACTAGTTATGAATACTTTTTAAAAACATAGACTTGCCTTTGTTATTTGCTTTGACTTTATAAGGCCGGGCTTCTCTTTCAAAATCTGAAAAAAAAATATTTCTTATAACGCTATGTTACAATCAACAAGATTTTTAAAAATGAGAAATAAATTAATAAATATTTTTTAATGTAAAAAGTAGTTGTACATTTCATTTTTTAATATTGTAAAAACAGTAATGCCTGAGAGTAATACAAACAAACAAAATATATATTTAAAAAAAGATTTATGAGGTGTGTTAGTTAACTCTTACCTGAGACAAGAGGATGAGAACACCACAGATAATCTGAGGGGGCTGGGGCGAATACACTTGCAATATCCTCTTGATAAATGCCTGGAACAACAGAAACAAAAAAAATATTGGTGCTATTATTAACGCTATTTTCATGTTAAGCAGTCATGAAAGTACCTGTTCATTTGATTTCATGACAGATCCTCATGTCATATATTACAAGTTTACTGAATAATATGTTTAAATTTTAAAGAAAACTTATTTCCCTGTCCATGCAACATATATTTTAAAAAAATCAGTCTAAGACAAATCACATTATCAGTTTCTCTAGCATTGTGCTGACCACACTATTCCCTTGCATGCAGAGGTCACTGAAACATGAAGAAACAGGAAAAGATGATGATGATCAGTCTCTTACCTTGACTCTACGATCCACTATATCCCTGCGCAAACTTTTAAACAAAAGATTCATAAAGATGGACTGCTTAGAAGAGTTGCTTAGCGCTGGGTCAGCCAGCTTGCGGTACAGGCACATATAGTAGCGGTCAGAGGTGCTGGAACTAAAGGATAAATTGAAAATTACTCATAAGAAATATTGGACTTGGAATTTTGGCATTTAAAAATAGTGTTCAGCTGGTTTGTTTGTCCTAACTGAGAGTTATGCTATAGGTAGTAAAGTTCCTGTTAAGACCTAGCAGTACATTAAGTAGATGATCTTGCATATGAAGGGATAGTGCTAGTATGCCCAGACACTTTTACTTTCCCCAAAGTAAGTCAGGTACCCATCAGAGCTGGATAGACTCAGGAACGTACAACAATCACAAGTCCGAACCGAGATCCGAACTCGAGACCTTTGGGCTAGCAGCCAAACACTCTACCATTCGACCACAACATCCCATGATGCTAGTAGTAGAGGTAGTTCTTGATAAAGCCATGTATTGGCCTATACTGGTAAACATATGCTGAAATTTAGCCACAATGAGAAGTATTTTGTCAAGATTGTTGTTTTCTACCAAGAATTGCAAGATATCATGGCTAATGGGCATGTATTAGAAGAACAAATATTTTCTGAAACAAGTAAGTCATGTATTGTGACATGACAAAAAGGGCATATATTGTGGAACACCAATACAGTGGCAAAAACTTTACATGACAAGAAGACAGTGTCATTTATTTTGACATGACTGCCATGGGTAGAATGTCAGAGTATCACCTACGTGGAGTCTGTCACCTGGTACAACAACATCAGGGCCTGGATACCTGTGTGGAAGTTGACCGACGGAATTATTTTATAAACCGCATCCATCTGCTGTGCCAGTTCTTCTTTGTTTGCTGAAAACAAATTCAGATATTTCTTTATGTATACATAACTGAAAACAGAATATTGTTAAATGAATACACCACAAGACATTGTGGAAATTTTAAAAACGTTTCACAATTTTAGTAGTGATAAATTTTTTTATTGATTTAAATATTACCTGATGAAAACATTAAATAAATGTGAAAACAGATGTAAGTAAAATTACTGCAAAACAAACAGGACATTACAGTAAAAGTTTTAAAAATGGGATGACTCAGAGAATAAATGAATTAACCTTTAGCAAAGGCATATGCCCTGTTGACGCCAGAAAGCAGAACACTCATCATCTTGTTATCCACCTCACCTTTCTTTAAATAACTCTGTGTACAATAAATGAAAGATTTTTTTAAAAACTGTACACACTTAAAAAAAAAATGAAACAAAAAAAAATATCTCTAAGGAATAAAATAAATTATTGGCTCTGTCTGGAGTTATTACAAACAAGTTAAATTTTAAAACATATTTTTTTTTGTTGGATGGGGTGTCAAATGGTAGAGCACTCAATGGCTAGCCAGAAGGTTTTGAGTTTGGATCTTGTACTGGAGTTGGGAATGCAGAACGCAGCTGAGTCTACCCCGCTCTGATGGGTACCTACTCACTAGAGGGCACAGTGCTGACCATACCACCCCTTCATATGTCACATGGTCAAGAAAAAATAACTTTTTTATCTGCCCTAATGATCATTAGGTCTAAGACTTTACTTACTTTAAATTTTGCATTCCAACAATCCCAATTATTTTACTACCATAATGCTTAATAGAAGTCAAACGTTAAACAATGGTACATAAGCCAAAAAACAATTTACAGGCAACCTGAAAAATTATTGCTTTTTAAAAGAACAGTACTTGAAAAAAATTAAAACAACTCACTTGGAAAAAGAAGAAATAAATCTGGATAAGTTTAGAGGCAAGTTCATTCTCTTGGTGACTCAAGTGTAGCTGAGTTAAGTAGCAGATAGCATAGTACCTGTCATCAAATTAATTTTTTTTTTAATTATTTGATTGTAATCTTAAAACTACATACACTTAACTCAAGTGCATTGTGTAAAATAGCAGCTAGCATAGTACTTGTAATCAAGTTCAGTATTACATTTTTAACTTAAAATTATATGCACTTGATGAAAAGTATGAAATATAAAGCTAATTACCCTTCGACCATTGATTAAATTTTAATAAGTGAAAATGCATTCAACAAAAAATAATTGCCACTGAAGTATGAAATGCCTCAAATCTACTGAAAAGAAGTGAGTAATTTCTATACTGAAGAGCTTTTGACCTGCTTGTTCAAAAGTCCTTAAGATTTCAATAACTATGATGGGGTCAACATCTTATGCAACTACCTTTACTTTCACAGACATGTACTCATCACAGCTCAGTGGGCAGAGACCTAAAGAACTTGAGTAGTAAATTAGGTAAACTAAAACTGCACTGGTTGAAGTCTGACTTACTGAGCTCGCTGTGAAACATTAGGCCTGTACAGAAGCTGCTCTACTTCTCTGACAATGACAGCTTTCATGTTGGGATGTTCATCAACTGAAGACAGATACAAGTGAAAGAAATAATTAATCACTAACTTAGAACATACAACTGAAGTAATGTAGAGTGTTGTCTATAAAAATAATCATCTTAATCAGGTACGTAAACAAAATGATAACTGTCTCACACTCAGATACAAGGGTTGTAAATAAGATATGACAGCTTTGCCTCATTCATTCAAGTATCATTTAACATACTTTTATCCCCACTTAAAAGACTAATGCCATGAGATAATTGAAAGGTTTTGTTGCAGAAAAATATTTTAACATTTTTATCACCACTTAAAAGACATGCCATGAGGTAATGGAAAGGTTTTGTTGCAGAAAATATTTTTGTAGCTAAGACTGATGAATTACCTAGTTTAGTCAAAAGGTACATAGCCTTAGATTTGATGAGTGGATCACCGAGTTTATTGACTAGCATGGGGAGCAGAGCCTGAATGAAAAAAAAAAGTGTTAGTTTTTTTTAAAAAACATAACTGATTACTACAACATTACCTTTAACAAAACAAAAAAATGTCAACATTAGAATCAGTTTGACCAAATACAGCTCATGGCCAGAGTGCTAGGATACACATTAGGCTAATCTGTTAGACCACATTTTATTTTAAACTACAAGAAAAATTACTATTCAGTAGATTTATTCACACACATGGATGTGAGAACCTGTTGCCATCTGCTTACACAAGGGAAGCAGCAAGATGTCTTTCACAGGTGTGACCAGGGGTTTTCACAAGTAATGTGCTTAAGGGGATATGCGCGACAAAAAACCACAAAATTTCTTGTTTTTCGTCATGATGGGTTTCTTGCACTTTTGCATACTTTGTCCATTTTTGTATTAGGAAAGTAATAACTTTAAAGAGAAAAAAATTTTTTTAGGTGTTTAAATTAACATTTTTATGACCCTGTTAATTAAAAATAATCAATTTTTCCCAGTCTTACACGCTCTCTATGAAAAGTTTTATATCCCTCATCATATTGTATTTGGCATCATTGGAAAGCTGGATTTCTCCTTTATTTGATAATCTTAATTTCCATCATCTCGGAAACACCCAAAGCTTACAATCGGCTTTGCAGTTTACCCAGATATGGTATTTTCGTGACCTACTTTTCGTTACTTTTGGCTGTTTTTCTCAGTTCGAATGTTTTTAACACTATAAAGCCTACTACTTTTTTATTTATTAAACAATTGCAACCATATTTTCAGTATTTGTTCTTCGTGCAAAAATACAACTTTTGTCACGAGGGAATTGTGATGGCTTACATAGAAAAAAAGTATTTGGTAATTAATATGCAAATTTTGAAAATTTTGAACACTAAAAATTGTACGATTTTGTAGACTTTGTAAAATTCTTACTAGTAGTTATTTCAAAAAGTTTTCGTGACAAAAGTTTTAATATATCCTGAAATATAAGCAGTTTAAATTTGATTGCTCTAGGTGCATAAATAAAAAAGCCTTAGCCTTTTTAAAAGTACCAAAAAATTCAAAATGGCGGAGGTTTTTTCGGGTTTCCATGACAACCAAACATGTTTTTAACCCTTTTTTTGCTGTTTAATACTTACTTTTATATGCCAAACATGATATAAGTATTCAAAATGCTTTAGATATTAGATTGTAAAAAATAGGAAAAAACATAGCATATCCCCTTAACAATTGAAATAGTTTACTAATGCTGTGTTAAAAGGTCACTTCTCAAGATAGAATACTTGACTTTATTTATGTGGGCCGATTGTAAAGGTAAGGGGGAAGACTGATAAGTTCAACGCAGAGATGCTTCAGCAAATCCCTGATTAGCTATAGGGCTGTGTCTTTAAAAAAGCTATTCCTTCTTTTTGTCTAGTTACAGAAATAATTTTCTGATTAATGGTAAATATAATTAATGACTTCTAAAAAAAATGATATTAAGTACACTGACATAATAAACCTATATTTAAAAAAAAAATTATTGCAGACATTGTAAAATAAGCATACTACTTATTATCCTAAAATAGATGTTGCCTAAAATAAATTTTAAACTGCTCTAAACTAATCAAACTTACATTTTCTTGCTCAGGCTTGCTGGTTAACAAATGATGTATTGTACCTATTAAATACAATTTTAATAATTAAAAGAAAAAGCTATAATTTTTTTTAAAACTAAATACTACAGTTAGTAATCTTTCTACTAACCCCCTAGTTAAATTTGAATTACAATATCTCAACTAGAAAATGTTAAGACAAGAACTGTAACTCTCAAACCAACTTACTAAGTGCTTTTTCCTTTGATGTTTGCAAAGTATCAAAAGACATCTCCTGAAAATCAACATAGTTTTGGTAAAGTTTTTATAAGGAAAAACAATATTTCCACAAGCTTTTTTAATACACATCCTACGAGCATTTTAGTAATGAGTTAAAGAGCAAATTACAAAATTTTCATTAACAGAGAAAAAAATTCAGAGAGCAAATTATCTTATGGTTATCTTTAGTAAATATGAAAAGCTATAAATCTAAAGTAGAGAGAAAATAAAAAATGATCTGTCACAGTTTGAGTATAACACATCATACTAAGTAGATTTGATTTTTCAGAAACTTTGACCCACACAAAAAATAAAATAAATCCAAAATAAAAGAAACACACACCCCTAAGGTCTTTATAAACTGTGCATATTTTAGTTTGAGTTGATCTTCAAAGCTCCACATCAACAGGATCCTGTCTCTTGTGTCAAGATTTCCTTCACTCAGTTTTAATATCTCTGTCAACGGTTGCTAAAAATAAATTGATAGCCAGCTGAATGGCACAGAAATACAACATATTCCAAATATTAATAAACAGTATTTATTTGGGATTGATAGGATGTTGTAATAAAAGAGAAAGATTAATTATAAGAAGAAAAAAAAATGAAAAAAGTAAATTCTAATTTACCGAATATTTGTAAATCCTAAATAAATATGGTATCTATTGAAAAAATATTTTTACCTGTTTAAATGCTCTTAATTTCCTCTCCTCAGGCAATAAACCAGATATAAATAAATCTCTTAAAGTATCTGTAAGATGTAACAGAGTAATACTGTAAGTATTTTAAACAAAACATACAAAACAGAAGTAAATTGACACATTCATTAGCCAATTTTTCAGTTGAGGTAAAATATGTATTAGCTAATTTTTTAATGTCTACAAATCTACACACATGAATATAATTCTTCTGATAAAAATGTATGCAAGAAAACTATGAGACCAACCAACAGCCATCATAGCCTCTCTTCTTCCTTTTTTGCCTGCCATTGCAATCAGCGAATCTATACTTGACATGTTGTGTACAGGAGATTCTTGTATCAACAATGTCAGGGCAGCCATCTTGTCAGACAGGGTACCCGAAGCCAGGACTGTTTTTAACCAACGAGCTTCTGAATTTTTAGTGCCTGCCTTCTCTGAAAATGGAAAAACGCTTTTTGTAAGCTAAAGTTTACTAAACCTCTTGGAGATTTTTAGTGGTGTAAAGGAAAGATGAAGCAAATTAAAAAGTTTCAATGGCAACTTCTTCAGGTATAGTGTTAATTTTTTTTAGAACACAAATGTAACAAATCTATATTGGTAATCAGGATGGTAGTAAATAATTGCAATGGATAATTGTTGTCTCCAAATATTAAGCAAGCACAATGCTTAAATATTGAAGGATTTGATCCAAATAGCTCAGGTGTATACTCAAAGCTACACACCTTAGTTAATCTTAAACTCTCTGATCAATAAAAGGTATTTTTTAAAATAGGGAAATTTAATTTTAAAGTTTTTGTAGATTACAAAGAGTTTTCATAACTGTAACTCATTAAGCTTTTAATACCAACAGCAGAGACAAGCATGTACAAGCAAATTGGCAGAATTGTTACGATTCGTCACATCATTTTCTAGAAGACGACAACAAAGCTATGTACTAACCTGTGGAGTACATAGAAATTTCTTCCTCAAGTATTTTTTTTGCCAGTTTTTCTGCTTCTTGTAAAACTGTTCCATCTGGTGGTTGATCTGGTATAGGATGAGCCTGTAGAAAAGACAAAATTCAATACAATTACTCATTTAATCCCGTATTAACAAGACTTAATCTCAAAACTTCAAAGAATGTTACTTTAAAAAATAATGTCTAAACACACATTCAACACAAACAAAACGATGCCTCTATATACATGGGAAAATGTTTTCAATTGAAATTTTATCAACTAAAACATTTTGAGTGAACTGTTTAACTGAAAAATGGGCTTCCTCAAAGCAATGATTGTATTACATTTTCAGTTAGTTTATCATAATATGTAAGTATATGTTACCTTCTCCTCTCTCCACATTTGACCAGGCTTCAGTAACAAATTTTTTCTTGCTTTAGGCAACTTCAGAAACTGCAGAACAGGTTTTAAATCCTCTGCCTTAACAGGGGGTTTATTTTTTTCTGCATTTTTCTTGGTAGAGGCCTGCACATCCTTTTTCTGCTTAGTTGTTTCTGTTGTAGCACTGGATTTGTTAGCTTCCTTTTTACTTTTATCATTTTTACTTCCCTTGGCTGTAGCTACAGGAAAAGGTCTGTGCTTTTCAACTCCAAGCTTTTGAAGAAAAGCTAAAATCTGGATAAATATTAACGCTTTTTAGGGTACATTTCATGATAAATCCTGCAGTTAAGACAAAACACTTTCCTGAAAAAAAATTACCATTAAAATTTTTTAGTAAGAAATATGCATTGTCCATTCCTCAGAATTGTTCTTTATTAGGCAAGGTGACCTAACAATAGTTTGCTAAAAAATTTCTGATAGTGTTTCTATAGGGGAAAAATATATTAAATGAAATATACTATACTATTAAATGTGCTTAACATTTTATTATCCTTGTGTAACTGGTATGATATGCAGCAATCTTTTGCTTTCCCTTACCCTAACCTATGTCAGGGTGGCTAAAGTGGACGTTCCACAGACTCCAGATATATAAAGCCTTTAGACTAAATTTAACATGAACAGTTGTGTCCTGTTTTAAGATGTTTTAACATGTAACCTGCTCAGAATTAATAGAATAAAACAATCAACATTAAAAATTTTACTACCGAAAAGTTGAGTTTCTTTTTAAATTTTACCTCAGACTCAGGGATGTCTTCCCCATTAGCATCCACATCAACAGCTGATTCTTCATCAACATCTTCAACATTTTGTAATATCACTTTGTCTTCCTATTAAAGAATACAATGAAAGTCAATTTTTAATTATAAGTAGGATTATCATAAAGAAACAGTCAGAGTTTCTTCCAGGCATCTCTTCGGGGGGGCGAAGCCCCCCCCCCCCAAAAATTTTTACCGCCCCCCCCGAACGAAATGAAATTTATATAATTTATATAGAAAATATATACTTTTAACAGTGTCCGCCCCCCCCGAAGAAAGTTTACCGCCCCCCCCGAAAATTTCAAGTGCCCCCCCGGAGAAAAAAGTCTGGAAGAAACACTGGGAACAGTTGATATAGAATATAGGTAGATCATGGGTTGTTTTTGTTTTTAATGCTTTTTTTTAAAATAATTTTTCACTTAATATAGGCCAGACCAATACGATAGTTTTTCTTACTATTTGTGAAATCTACTTAATTCTCAATTTAAACATGACAACTGAATAAAAAACGTCCATACTTTATCCTCTAGGCACTAAATTTGGGGGTTGTAGCGAGTTTAGACTAAATTATTGAATTTTAAATTTATTTGTCACTCACAGCTATGATATGACGGATCATCCATGACAACCTGGTTAAAAGTTGAAAGGTTTAACTTTTTAAGTGACCGTGAAATAGATCTAATTTTTTTTCACAAGAGAGTTCCTAAAAGTAGAATTGGCCAGTCTATCGTCGGGTAATATTTTTAGAGGAAAAAAATTTAAGAGAATGTCATCAGAAAAGAATTAAAAAAAAGACAAGACAGAAGTGATTTTTGAATTCTTTTATTTCTTTAATTTTATGACATTTTTTATTGTACAAAAGAGCAAAATAAAAAACCATGCCAGGTAAACGTATCCATTCAAATAGCGGTCACGTGGTCAAAAAAAATAAAAAAAATGTGGTTGTCATTTCTCGGTCGATCTTATAAAAAAACGGTTGAAGATATTTGATTTATTTTTTCATAGAATGATAAAACTAATAATGCTTTACTATGGAAATCAATTTTGTGAGAGGGAGATCTATATTTAAAAAGTTAAATTATTTTGAATGACACCGACTTTAAATTTAGCCTACATTCCCCAAAGCAATTTCTGAAAATGCTTTTCTGGCATATTTAACCTTGCCACCTATAGCATGTTTTTATAACGTGAAAACCCGCCATTTTACTCGTGATAAACATTTTTAAAAGTAATTCTAAGAAGGTCTCTGGAACTAAGTCGAAAAACTCGCCGGAAGTCATGGTCCGATCCTTACGCCATGTTCTGGTTAGTGAGCCTCCCTACAATTAATTATTATTCTTAGCCATTTCAGGGCATATATTTGTAGTTTCAACAGCAGTACTAAATAATTAGAAATAGGGCTGTCTAAAAATACAAGATTTGAAATATTAAAATTTTGATTAAGTTTTAATTAGGCCTCTGCGCTAAAAAGTCGCAAATTACAGCTGTAATTGCATTTTCTGTATTCTTTCAAGGGCAGTTATTATTGTAACTTTTATTTGTTATAAATTGTGATATGATTTTTTAAAATAAAATTGTTTAAGATTATTTTGCTGTTTTTATTTTTTTTTGTTTCCTGGTGTTATCTCCCATTTACAGATTTTCTGTTAAGCCAGCTATTAAAAAACAAAAAAATTAATTTCTCAGCTTCTAATTAAGCTAGCACTATAAATTAAGTATCATTGTGATTCTTAATCCCACCGGTAAAAATTTAGAGAAAACCCTTGATATTTCATAGTATCCGCCGCCAACCAATCAAACGCGCGCTTTCAACGCGTTTTGGTTGGCGGCTGACGTCACGATGACGTCACGCGACCCGTAAACACGGCGTTTTTGGAGCTAAAAAGGGCCGAAAAAGCCATTTTTTCTACGTGTAGTTCGGATTTTTTTACGTTTTTTAAAATGGGCCCGAAAATGACACTTTTTAGAAATGGACATAGCCATTTTTTCGAAGAATTTATTCAAAAAAGGGCCGTTTTGAGCTATGTTTCGATGTAAACAAAGGCCCATGTCAGCACGTGTCAAACCACGTGAAGGCACCCGATCGACGATTTCGGTCACGCATGAGTGGTTTTCGTACGTTCTCGTGAACTAAATACCAGTTTCTTGACAACAAATTGGAAAGCGACAATTTCGTGAAAATTACGACCCTAGAGGAATGTCTTTTGAAGATTATTAAATAAAAATCGATGCATTGGCTACATGTGTTGATTCTAAAGTTGTCTATAATTGACTAGTAGGGCATGCTGAAACAACGGCCTTAGGGCGCCATGTAGTGTGTAGTTTCGCTAAATGTAAATTAATCAGCCCGGCCGCAGATCGACCGCAAACTGTTAAATTTGTTGAATGTGAAAAGCATACTACTTACAAATTACTTTTGAATATTCACATCACACAAAATAATCCCAAAGAAAGCACAAAATAAAATCCGTTAGAAAAGCATCACCGTGAAATTTGAAAACCACAGTATGTCAACCAGCCATCTTGGGCTCGATCTAGATCTAGAGGTCATTCATTAGCCTACACATGTGCCTTGGCAACAACTTTAGTTTCTGATGGTACACGAGATTTAGATCAATATAATCAATATATTAATTAACAAACTAACTGAATTCCAACATTCTATCACTATAATCCTAAAATGAAACAGAATTTGAAGCACAATGATCTAACGAATAAATCCCACTCTAAGTAAGTGTCGCAGCTTTAATCCTGGTTACAACCGTAGTGTGTAGTCGTGTTGTGAGTAAACTTGCACGAGATACAACACCGACCTAGACCTTCCTGATGTGTATGGCCCCAAAGTTAAATGCTGGGAGTAGGGGAGGGGAATTTAACACCAGAATAGATTTTTTTCAATAGTTACGTCACCAGTAGTTCACGCATCCTAACGGGGTTGAAAGTGTAACTTTATATTCAACTAGGCAAAAGGTGGAGGGGTGGGGTCATTTAAACGACGGAGCTATATTTCTAGTCGAAGAATACGGGGAAGCCGGCATTTTATTATTGTCATTGCTATTGAGTACAACCCTTTATTCTAGTTTAATGCACGACTAGGCTACTCATTACAAAATCTAAAAAATGTCGTTGTGCTACCATGCAAAAGTAGCCTAATATTTCTACTGAATGGGGTAGGTATTTGACTTTGTTTATTGAAATGCAGATCCCATTAGCCTAAACATATTTGGATGAACATTTTTGTTATATCGAAAGGATTAATTTTATAATACAATGCATATATTCTGGCAGTCCTTCAAGTTTTTGGACAATCCATAACTTGTATTTCAAAGATTGATAATGAGCGGGATGCACTCGATGTTTTAAGTGCTACATTCGGTAGCTGTTACTTTGTGCATGACAGCATCCCAATAGTTCACTGTTAATAATGTAAACTGAGCTTGACGAGACTCCCATCGCCAAGCAATTGTATGATGATAGACCCAGCAAGCATCACTCGTTAAATTCGACATCATGGCTATACCAGTCCTTGATTATTTTCATTACTGCCTCGAAACGCCTAGTTCTTGGTTTAAAAAAAAAAAAACCGTCTCCCCCCCCCCCTTTCACAATTGCGCCGACGTCATCATAGACCAATACCACGGTGCATTTTTTTTTCAACGAGTATAACACACCCCCATCTCCCCCTCACAGCAAGCGCCAACAACGGTCACCCAAGGCCCAAGGCCAATAACACGCACCACGGTGGATTTTTTTTTTACCGAGTATATACCCTACCCAACAGCCGCCTTACAGCATACCGCTAGTCTTTACAAACGGGGTTAAAAGTTTAACTTTGAGTTCAAGAAGGGGAGAGGGTGGTATTGAAACAACGATGTTCTTTAATATGTTTAATAGTACAAATACATAGTAAAAAATTATACTTACCAACTTCTATAGCATCATACATAATTTTATAAATTAGCAAATTAATTAACTAATTAATTAATTAATTAAATCTAATGATAATGAAGGGAGATAGTTTATTTTGGTTAAGGCACGACACACAACACTATGCGTGCGTGGTATGTGGCCTGACCGACCGAAAGGAGATTGTTTATATTATTGTTTTGAGTTTATATTTAACTCAATGCAACGAGCCCGCCGGTTGGTTGAGGCCACGCCGGGGGGACGATCTGTCCGGGATTCAAAGGGTCGATTCTAAATATCAATTATCATCCTTAAAGTCTATCCCCGCCCCCCTTTCTAGACTTAAATAAAGAGTGGCGTGTGGGAATGAGTGAGTGTGGGTGTGTGTACTCAGTAGTGAGTGTACAATACAGTAGTGTACTGCTGTGATGACTAGCCAGTGTGTGGTAGTGTGTGTCGTGTTGAATGAATGATAATTTAATTTTTAAATTTACAGCAGCTGTGTTGCTGTTAGATTTTAACTTAGATTTATATCTAAATCTAGTATATATAGGATATATAACAATAAAATACTTCTTAACAGTTAAAACTTTTAAAGAGTTGACGTACCTCTGTTATCAGATCGTCTATTTCTAAGTCTGTTTTATTTTTTTGTCCGCGTGCTTTAGCATCTTTCTTCAAAACAGGTGCCATTTTAATTTTACAATTTTTCTTTTGGCATTATCTCCCCATAATGGCCAGTCAAATATTCAGAAAGTGAAGAAAAATATCATAAGGTCTGACAATCCAAAACAATAAAAGATTTTTCTGAATATTGTTGAAATCAATTTTTATTAAATACTCATAATTGATTATTGTTTTGTTGAAAAGAACTGTATTGTGCAATGATAATTGCAACTCGTTACTGTTTAGCTAACAAATAGTCACAATTTCGTAACAAATTTTCAACTTAAAAATCGTGTAGCTCAAAAAAAAAATCCTTCCCGGCGGGATATGATTTTTTTTCAGGCATCTCATTGGAGTATCCCCCTCCAGACTAAATAAATGTATAATTTATATAGGCCTACAAAATATATACTTTCACCAGCGTCCGCCTCCCACGGAAATGTTAATTGCGCCCATCTCCGCTGAAAGTTTTAAGTGCCCTGTCTGCCTTCTCCCCGAGAAAAATGGAACCCTCGGCAGGATAAATTTGTATCTTCAGATTTGTATCTAACAGCCAGAAACGCAAGGCCCTAAAACGAAGTAACAGTTTTTGAACCACCTCGTCCGATGTAACCGATTAACATAGGGCATTAACATGAATTAATGGAAAATATGTACTTTTTTTTAAAGATGATACGACATATTTCTTACTCCGACGTAAGCGGAGCCCCCCCCCCCCCCCCCGAAGAGCGTTTTACACACTCTCACGCATACACATGTGGTGTCGGCCAGAGTTTCTTCAGGCATGTCTTCTAAGAAAAGTCTCCCCCCCCCCCCCCCCCCCCGATCGAAATTGAATTTATATAGAAAACATATACTTTTACCAGTGTCCGCCCCCCGGAAAATGTTGTCCGCCCCCCGAAAATATCAAGTGCCCCCCCTCCGGAGAAAAAAGTCTGGAAGACAACACTGGTGTCGGCATTAAAAGTTAAAACTAATGCTAAACTAGTTAGGCTACTGACTTTGACATAATTTTCTTCTTGAAGAGTTATTGGTAATTAGTATCGCCGTTAAATGTTGATAAAATATGGATATGATCATTTGGAATAACTTATTTATATATTTTAGCAAAACTAATTTATAAATCTATTTTATTTTATAAGATTAAAAAATGTAATAATTTTTACTTATGATGTATTTTTTTAAATAAATTATTTTTTATCTGAAAAATTACCATTTAGATCTAGATCTAGATCTAGGATCTGCGCAAAATTATTCCAGTCTAGGTTTTATTAACGAAAGCGAAAATTGAAACATGGCAGGTGGGCATAGATCAATTTTAAAACAAAAAAACAAAAGCCATAATCATGGCAAACACAGAAGCAAGAGAAATTTAAAAAGAGAGGCTCATGGTAAGTATGCATGCCAGTCATTAATTTTAAGATTCAAATAGTAAACTCTTTTATTTATTCATTAATCATCCTTTATATTTCGTTGCAACCTGTTTTCGAGTACTCATCGACATCAAAATTTAAGTGTGTGTAGCAGAACAAGAAAAATTGTTTTTAAATTTTAAATTGATCTAAAAGAGAAGAAATGTTTTGAAATTATTTCTGTAACAGCGTGTTCGGGCAGAAGAGCATATGACTGCTAACTCTATAAGCCTTAAGTAAAAATTAAGTTCATTACTTTGGTCTTTGGGCAGATGAGTCGTTGATGGCCAGTTGACTCTTGACTTCTTCACTTCAACTTCAACCAGGTTTTCTTTCTGGATACTTTGATTCAACTCAGAACAATCTGTCCTAGATGCGTTGTTGTCCCCAGCTAACAAGCCTGTAGTTGCATAACTCAGGACTTCTTAATAAGCAATCTTGTTCACTTGTTGGGTAAACCTCCATTTCAGCGTATTTTATTCTCAGTTGCATGTTTACCTCCAGTTGAGCGTATTTTATTCTAACAACCGAAACACACCAAAACATTAGGAAAACACGATTTATTTTTTGTATTGTATTTTTGTTTTAGCAAATGAATAAAAATGAATATTTAAAAAAACACGACTTGTTTATTTGTATTGTATTTTTAAAAAATAAGGCATTTGTCTCATGGTGAAACTGATACACTGTTAATCATTCTGTTTTATATTTTTGTATTTATGCAATAAATGTACAAACTCTTTTTTTTTTTAATTTGACAGTTTTGCTAAAACTGAAAAAATTTTTTTACTATAGAGTTGTATGTTATTTAAATTCATAGTAAATCTACCATCCTTCCCTTTTTTGTATGAGTAAATTTCTGACTTTTAAAAAAAATTGATGTGGGGTCGTCCATAAATGACGTCACACTCGTAAGGGAGAGGGGGGTCAGCAATTTTGTGACGGTGTGTGATGAGGGGAGGGGGTGGGGTTTCAGATGGTGTGACGTCCCTTTTTTGCATTATAAAAAAGCAATGTTAGAAAAACAAGTTTTAGCCGTTATTTCGCGTTTTAGAAAACGGTTTTAATAAATTGTAATATGAATTGATCAAAATACTCTATGTTGACAGAGTTCTGACAAGATTTTGGAAAAATTATCGATGTTTTAAGAAAAATTCAACAGAAATTTTGAGGGGGGGGGGGGGAGGGTTGTAGGCTGAGGTGTGACGTCAGTTTAGGGGGGGTCTGACTTTTTGTGACGACGTGTAACGGAGGGGAGGGGGGAGGTAAAAATCGTAAAAAAAACGCGTCGTCACAAAAAGCAAGACCCCCCCCCCCCCCCCAAAAATGATGTAGCACCATCTGACCCCCCCCCCTCCCCCTACGAGTGTGACGTCATTTATGGACGACCTCTAACATTATTTTTTTTAAAATGACAACGTGAGTTGTCACACTTTCTCTAACACTCCAAGCCAGCCCTCACCAAATTCCACCCCCCCCCCCGGCCCACTTTTAGCAGCATTATTGTGCCTTTTAATACTTTTATTCAGTTTAGTTGAAATTGGAACACTTAATTGTACAAAATGTGCATCTCTATTTTTGTAACCAACAAACAAAGCACTTCAGTCAGTCTCTTTGTTGTTTTTATACAATACAAATAAACAAGTCGTGTTTTTTAAATATTCATTTTTATTCATTTGCTAAAACAAAAATACAATACAAAAAATAAATCGTGTTTTCCTAATGTTTTGGTGTGTTTCGGTTGTTAGAATAAAATACGCTCAACTGGAGGTAAACAAGCAACGGAGAATAAAATACGCTGAAATGGAGGTTTACCCACTTGTTGTTCTCTCCTGCCCATCCCCTTCTTATCTTAGTCGCTGCTAAGTGAGTACAAGATATTCTTTGTTGATGTTAATCTTATAGGCTTTGTTTCTAAGTTAGATTCACATTTTCATAATACTAAAGAATGTTATTGCCACATGTTTTACAGGAAAAGTCAATGTTAAACAAATAACTAAAGATAAGAAGATAAAAGAAGTATTGCGCCAAGAGGTATTTCAGATTTCTAATATTATTTCATTTTTAAGCTGAAAAGTAAATAGAATCTACTAAGTGACATGTGGTATTTTTATATTTATTTGACAAAGAACATTTTTGAAACATCTTTTACAGGCAGCTGTAAAGCGAGTTGATGGCAGGGGAAATACTCTTGATGAAAAGCGAGGAGTTGCAACCCTTCCACCTCGATTAGTGGTAAGTTATTTGGGTTTACCAAATTATTTATGACTTAGCTTTCTCATCAAATTCAGTTATGCCACAGCCTTTGGTTCTTTATTCATCCAGATCAGATCCCTAGTAGGCTTGTTTTTTTTTTTTTTTTTTTTTTTGTTGTTTGTTAAAAATTTGTGGTACTTTAACAGTAATTTTCTCTAGTTTGGAAGTACAATGTGGAAAATTTGTTTTAAAAATTCTGCTATTGCAGCTTTTAGTGATAAGTTAGCAACATCAGCTTTTTATTTATTTATTTTAAACAGCCTTTCCTGAAATACAAATATATTCTCTTTAACTTACATTCTAATTACTAATATATTTACATTTTAAAAAATTGTACAGGTTGTAGTCAGCCTTGAGAAGTCCGTTAACACAACAGCTGTAGTAGATTTACTTAAAGAAGCAGATCTGACTGCAATAACCAACAAAAGTGAACAGAATGTCTTGCACGTCAGGTCTGTATTTTCCGACTTTGCTCGACCATCACACTCTCATCCTGTTGTTAATCATGTTTGGTCTTATATTACTTATATTGTTAAAGATCGGCAGTCCATATATTTTCTCTATAATTCATATTTAAATTGTGTTAACTGACATCACTGGTTTTTAAAGAACTTTTTTTTTGTATTGTTTCAGTGCATGCAAATTAAAAAATCGAATGTGTTTTATTACCCCGGAGTATGGGAACCTCCAAGAATTATTGGATGCCGCCAAAGCTGCGGATGTTGTTTTGTTTGTTGTTGGGGAAGATGGAATGGACAAATATGGAGAGCATTGTTTAGCCTGTGTTATGGGTCAAGGCATCCCAGCCAGCGTGTTTGCATGCCAGGTTAGTTTAACAAATGGAAGTTGAATTTTTTTTTAAACATACAAGAAAACTCCTTTCTTGAATACATTCAACATATTTTATTCTTCCTAGGGACTCTCAAAATTAAGTAAAAAGAAAACATCAGATGCCAAGAAATTAATAGACAAACAAATAGAAAAAAGGTTTGTATTATTGTACTTCCCTTTGTAGATGTAGCTTTTTATGAAAAGAATTACTAAGCAACGGCTTATGATCATACTTTTAATCTTAGTTTTCCAGACTGCAAATTCCGCACGATTGACACATGGCAGGATGCACAGGCCCTTTGGAGACAAGTAGCAAATTTAGCGCTAAAACCATTGCATTTTCGTGATTCTCGTCCTTATCTTCTTGCTGAAAAGTTAGAATTTGAGCAAAATGTTGAGAACGATGCTGATGCCACTGAAGAAATAAATGTAGGTTGAGTGATTTATTGTTACTAAAAATGATATTCATAATTTGTCATACTTATGTGTCAAAAGTTTTTTGATTCATTTTCCTAAATTGTTTCCTTTTTTATTTAAATATAGGATGCCGTCTTTGGTACGCTTAAACTGAGTGGCTACTTAAGAGGGAAAAGTTTAAATGTCAATAAGCTCGTGCATTTACCAGGATGGGGAGATTTTCAAATGTCGCAGATAGACCAGTCTGATGACCCCTACCCTTTAGTTGTAAAAGGAAATAAAGACAGAAGAAAAAAAGAGGATGGAACTGATGATGAGATGAAAGAAGTAAGTTTTAGAGATTCTATTGTCAGTTTCATTTTAAGTTGTACTATGCATGAAAGATAATCTAAAAATCAGAGCACATGCATGGTTATCCAAAACTTTTTCGTTTGCTACCCAAGTTTGTAAAATGTGTGCAAGTGCAAGAATTGCGTAATTATAAATTTATTTTCATCTGTCTGCCTTGAGAGCATTGTTGAGCAGGTTATACTCAGGTAAGAAATAAAGAAAGTAGCTTATATGTGGCACTGTTCTGGTTCTGGAGATGTGTAACTACACCACTGAAACATGTGCTTTTGTAACCCCTTATTTGTTTACTCTGTAGGGGTCGGCGTGGTCGAGTCGGTAAAGCTCATGGTTGCTAAACCGAAAAGTCTCGAGTTCGAACCCTCGAGCAGATGAGGCTCGTTAGCTGGGGACAGCCACTCTTCTAGGAGAGACAACTCCAAAATTAAACAACTGCTGCCTTGTAGTTTGTTCTTGGTTGGACAAAGACTATGGAAGCAAATCCAAAAAGAAAAAAGCAGGCTGAAATCGGAGTCAATGGCCTCAATGGTGCATAACCAGTTGACACGTAACACTTAATTGTGTTGGAGGCGTGGTCGAGTCGGCAAAAAGTTCATGGTTGATAAATTCGAACAAAGTCTCGTGTTCAAACCCACTGGCAGATAAATCTCGATCCCCTTCAACACTAATAATTAAGAACGAAGAAGAAGAAGTTTACTCTGTCTTATAATCAAGTAACATCTTCATAAGGTTTATAATTATTCTCCTACAGGTGACACCCAGGAGTTTTTGTCTAGCCAAAGCCACAAACCCTGAATCTCTTCAGTCTGAAGTTATTCCTGATGAAATGGACCAGGAACAAACATGGCCAACAGCTGAAGAGTTGGGAGAGGACAAACGTGGGTTTTGTGTTACAGTTTATTATCTAATTTTATAGCAATTTAAGGAGTCTTTAATTATTATTTTTATTCACTTTTCTTTTTTTATTTTTCATTTTCAGCTGTCAAAGTGAAATCTTTAAAAGGAGTTTCAGATTATCAGAGAAATTGGATATTGGATTTAGAAGTAAGAGAAGAGTATCTGACTGAAAAAATAGAGATTAAAACGTTTTTGGTTAAACAGTAGCTGAATATCTGTCTTATAAAATACATATTGATTAAAAAGTCTTTGGATAAACAGTAGCTGAATATCTGTCCTATAAAATGCATATAGATTAAAAGGTGTTTGGATAAACAATAGCTGAATATCTGTCTTAAGAATACATGAGGATTAAAATGTGTTTGGATGTGTTTTTGAAGGATGGTTCAGCTGGCAGTGATGACAGTGAAGATGAGACAATGGAGGATGAGATGATGGCTGATGCCAAAAAACCTGAAGGCAGTGATGAAGAGTTGGAAGAAGAAGACGAGGGTGGTCTCGATGCAGTAAGATTTTATCTTTTTATTGCATATGAACAGTAATTCTGTTTTTCACACTTTTTTTAAATGCGTAATTGATTTGTTGACTAGTATGCTAGTATTTAGAGGATACTTGCAAACAAATGTTTATTCCTTTTAAAATGTTTCTTTTTCTCCAGGCTACAGCAACTGAAGTTGATGAAAATGAAAATTATGATGATCAGATAGACTTAGATGAGGATAAAAAAATGTTTGTATTTAAATAATAGATTTTTAATTATAGTTTTTACAAACTAATTAATTCAAATTTAATATAATTTATTTTTGTTATAGTCACTAGCTTCATTAAAAATGTTAAATCACTGTGTTCATTAATCAATGTTGTTATCTATACTTTGGCAGGTATGAACGTATGAAAGAAGAGAGGCTGCATGTGCACTTCCCTGATGAGATAGACACCCCAATTGATGTTCCAGCTAGAACGAGATTCGCTAGGTATTAAACTGTTATTTTTTCTGTAAAGTATTATAATGTGTAAATCTGAGCTACACATAGCACTTTACAATATATGCGACCATGAGGTGCATCAATTCACAACTTTGTTGTCAATAGCAGAAAATTATGGATTTCATTATTGGAACAGTAACTAAGCTTGGTCTAAGTTAGCAAAGAAGGGGAAAAACTAATATATGCAATAATATAAACAATGAAAACATCATTATTAAATTAACAAATGCATATGCTCATGAGACAAATATTATACATACAGTGTGTACAGCTGTTACTTTTTTTTTTAATTGTCGTTTTTTATTGTTCATTTCTTTTAGTTCTAAGTAAATTAACTGTTCAATTAAGACACTGTATCATAAGCTTTTAATTCGATTCCAGGTATCGTGGTATGGATAGTTTTCAAACAACGGTTTGGGATCATAATGATTCTCTTCCCTACGATTATGCTCGTATTTATAGAGTCAATAAGCATCATTATAAAAGATTAAAGAAAATCTCTGTCGTTGACCAAGAAGATGATGCAACTGATAATCTTCTTGCTGAGGTAACTATAAAAAATGTTTTTTAGTTAATTGTTTTCAGATAAATAGACCTACCTGAATGGTAAAATATAAGAGATATATGTTTATCTGGTTCAAGGACTATTTGCTTTAAATTATTCTCAAATCTTTTTCAGCCTGGAAACTACATCACAGTGCATGTGAAAAATGTTCCAAAGTCTTTTATGGGTTTGTGTTTATGTTTTTTCATCTCCACACACTTAGTATTCTTGTTAAGTTTTTAAAAACTATTTCAATCATTTTGTGCAAGTGCTATTTTTTTATTTCTAATATTTTTAGTAATTTAGCTAATTTTAAAAGTAAGCAAAATGTCAATTATTTTGTTTACACATTTTTTTTAATCACTGTTCCTATTCAATTTTCTAATACCTTATTAAAAACTTAAGACATAATTAACAAATTAATATATGTTGTTTACTTCGCTAACTTTACTTGTATTAAAACTTGCAGATTTCCACAAACCTGGGAACCCTGTTACACTGTTTGGGCTTTTTTCCAATGAACAGAAGATGACTTTGATCAGTGCTCTCATATCCAGGGCACCAGGTTTTAAAAGCCCAGTCAAGGCCAAAGATCCTCTTGTCTTTCAAATAGGATTTAGGCGGTTTTCATCCTGCCCTATTTTCTCGGAGCATTCTTACCAGAATAAGTTTAAAGTAAGAGGATTTAAGTTTTCTTTCTCTTTCACTTGCTGTGTGAAAAATTTTGGTCACGTATTCAGTTGTAACATACCTTTGTGCACTTATTCTTTTGTCTCAATAAATTTATTTACAAATAAATAATTGTTTACATTAATTTGTATAATGTATAATTTTGTAAATAATAATTCATGTCTACAAAATGTAATGTGTCTTGATATTTTCTAAAGGAAATGAAATTGCTCAAGCGCTTTAGCATTGTTTTGGAAATGTTTTTAAAACTTAAATTATCCTCTTTTTAGGTTATACTAGAATACTGGTGGAGAGTAACTTAATGTAAAGAAATTTTTGAAATGCTGTTTGTTTAGCCAGTACTAATTAATTTGTATTTGACAGATGGAGAGGTTCTTGCCTCAACAAGGTTTTATTGTTGCTTCAATGTTTGCTCCAATTATGTTTGCACCTGCGCCAGTTCTTGTGTTTAGGGAAAATGTAATGCGTAAGTTTTAATTTTATCTTCTTGTGTGTACAGTAACAGATTGTTATATAATATATGATTTAAAATTAAAGCTTCTTTTAGCTTGTTTTTATTTTCTTTTTATTCTGTAACAACACATTTAAACATTAATTAAAGTGTTTAAATATTGTTTAAAATTAAAATAAAATTTAACTTGTTTTTAAGTTCAACTTGTATTAGTTAAATTTTAACCAACTTCTGCTAATGCTGTTATAAAGAATATTTTGTATTTTAAACAGAGAAGTATGATCTTGTGGCTAAAGGATCCCTGATGCCACTAGACACAGACAGAATTGTGATCAAGAGAGTCGTCCTCAGTGGTGCACCTTTCAAGATAAACAAGAGATCTGTTGTTGTCAGATACATGTTCTTCAACAGAGGTATGTTGACACTGACACTACTTTGTTTTAACATTCAACGTCATTAAAAGGTTTTACTATCTCACTGCTACCCAGTGGGTTGGCATAGTCAAATGGTAGAGCATACGACTGTTAAATCGAAAATCTCGAGTTTGAATCCAGGTTCAAGTCCGTAAACATCCTGAGTCCACCCAGCTCCAAACTGTACCTGTTAGGGAAAGTAAAAGAGGGGGACATAATGTTGACTACAATATTCCTCTATAAGTCAGTGTCACAGAAATGGGCGAACTCCACTTTCACCTTAGACTGTCAGGTTTAAAAGGGAAATTTACTTTTATTTTACTGCTCCCTAACATGGTAGTTATGTTGTTACATGTATATTCATGATTAACTTATTGTGTTGATAATTTTCAATTATCAAAAAACTAAGTATTTATAAAATGTTTATGTAATGTAATTTCAGAGGACATAGAATTCTATAAGCCCATAGAATTAAGGACAAAATATGGAAAAAGAGGACATATCAAACAAGCATTAGGTAAAAATTTTAATTTTATTTGAAAACTGAGTTTTAAATTCCTGGGTGTATTTTACAAGCAAGAGGATGAGCATTGTTTAAAAGTACAATATATTTACAGGAACCCATGGGCACATGAAGTGCACATTCAATGGGCAGTTGAAATCTGAAGACACTGTGCTGATGAATCTGTACAAAAGGGTCTACCCTAAATGGAGTTATGACCCCTGTGTCAATATTCTACCTCCTGTAATGGAAGATGGCAGTGTTGAGGAAAGTGATGAAGAAATGGAAAAAGAACCAGAAAAGGGAGAGGCATTTAAATTGTTTGATTAAAGCTTTTTTTTTGTCATTGTTTATTGTATGTAAAAATCACATTTTTTACACATTAAGATGAATTTTTGGGAAAATGAAAAAAGGATTCAGACAATAAGGAATGGTCTTTCAGATGTTTAAAAAAAATTATGAAACAATCCTCTAAAATGTTTTTAAAGTATAAAATCTGTATTGTGTTTACACATAGTATGTAAATAGAGATAATTTCACAAATAAAAAGATGTGCAAATTTGCTGTTTATTTTTTTTTGTTTAGAACATCTTTGCCTCAATTCTTTTCTTTGAAAAGTATTACTTGAATTACATTGCATCAGTTATAAATACATCAATGATAATTCTTAACTGCTGCACTAAACATGAACAATCATTTCAATAAATTATTTAATTAGCCATAAATCAAGATAATCATTTTAATTAATTACAGACTGCAAATGAGGCTTTAAAAAATTACTTTTGGCACTTATGTTCATTAACAAGCTAACAAAGTTTTGATACAGAATTGGTTCGCCTAAAAATAATTTGATATGGTACCAGACTGGGATACTGTACCTGTCAGAAATTCTCTTATATTTACACTAAAATAAATGTGATTCTCCCTAGGATCATGCACATTACATTCCACATAATTGACATTTTTGACACGACACCCCCCCCCCCCCCCCCCCCCATATTAACTATCATCCAAAAACCACTTTTACCTATATGCTGTAAAGTGTCTTTCCTAAAGTGTTTGAACTATAAATAACTTCTTGGTGTTGGAAATTCCCACTGGCGCTGCTTTCTTTATGAGTGTAAATAGGCGTTCCAAGCGCACTAGTAAACTTATTGAAAAAAATAAAAAGCTGCAAGGTCTTGAAAAAAACATTACATCTAATGATTAAAATAATGCCTTAGACTAAACATCATTGTAAGCCTTAAAAATTAAACATAAACCTCTAAATGGAAAAATAACATACCCAATAATAAATAAACTATCGTACAACTTTTTTTGTGCAATAATATTAAGTGCTTCATACTCTAGATCTACTTAAATTTAAAAAAAAACAAATTATACATTTTAGTTAGCTTCATCATTGCTTGAAAATATTTCTTGATGATTTTCAACCAGTAAAATAATACTGATGTAGATCTAGACCTAGATCTAAAAATTTGTTATCGTATGCCAAAATGATACCAAGCCATATTTAGGACTCATGGACATATGTAAAAAAAAAAATTGTATCTTCTGAATGCTTTAACTTTTACGTTGCGAATTTACCGCAATATCAGTAGAATGTCTAAAAAATGAAAATCTGAGGTTCAGAAAGTGTAACGTCGCACTTAAATCTTGTAAAATTTAATTTTTAACGTGAATTTTTACACCTATTTCGGATTTATAATAATATTTTGGTAAATTGTAATAAAAAATATATTAAGCTTAGTTCGTCTTGTAATATTTTTTTAAAAAATAGTTTTTATAAACTTGGGGGGGGGGGGGGGGGGGGGGGGGGCTGAAGTGTTTTCTTATTTTCATTGGGGGTTGGGTACTTTCTGTAACTAAGTGTGAAAATGAGGAAAGAAGTGAGGAGGGGATCGTTTATAAAGTCTTTACATTTTTTTTCCAATATAAATGCGGCACTAACTTTAGCTTTGGTTAGCCATCTAACGGAGATGCCGATTCAATTAATTTTTTTCTATGATTTAGATCTAGATTATGTTTATTTCTAGTTAAGCTAGCTTAATGATTTTTAAAAATAGTTTCATTAGCCTAACATTTGATAGACGAATAAAAATAAATTAAATATCTTCCTATTTATTTAATCGTTTTCGACAAGCTGTTACTTCCGACGGCAGGTCACGGCCTTTCTATGGTCATATCGATATCATCATTGATAAAGAATGTGTCACCTTATAATTTACAAAATTTTTCTCAACCAGACTATGCATAGTTAAATTGTTAGAAACTGCTTTTATCTCTTCTCATAAATATTATTAACTTCTGTTAATCATATAGTACTAGTGTGCTCGAGTGATCGAGTTGCAATACAATAATCGACTACAAAGTATTGAAAAAGTCCATCAACAGGTGATAAGGAAAGTAGAAAATATGAACGTCAGCTGGTCTTGAATCACTCTGGTCAACATCAATCAAACTCAAAATTTTGTCTCGACTATTGTGCAATAGTACCAGATAGTGATGGATTAAACAAGAAATTATTTAATAATATTCCGAAATACAATGCAATGGAACTAAATTTATCATCTGATATTAATGCCATTATCTTTCGCTTCTTCTTCGCCTTCGTCGGGAATGTCATCATCGCGAAGTAGCAGTAGTTCAACATCTTCGAATGTAATAAATGGCGATAAGCTTTATCCTTCTTTGGAGAGTATTTGTTACAGATCATCAGAAGAAGATGAAGATTTTGATACCATTGCTCTGGACGAGTCCCATTCGTCATCCTCAAGCAGCAAGCGATACTTGTATCCACAGAAAGAGTTTGTTGAAGAACTGAGACCAGAGGAAGTAAGATGGTTTCACAAGCTGCAAACAGACACAGGAAAAAATTGGACTGCATTTATTGGCTATGATTCCCTGAGGATAGAATGTAGGTATCGAGCATTGAATTTGAGTAATGAAAATGGAGATATCGATGAAAACGAGAAAATTTTAGTTCGTGGAGGATTATACGAGGTTGACATAAAGGAGAAAAAATGTGTTCCTGTGTACTGGTCAGGTGAGCAATTTAAATTTTAAATTAATAGTAATTAGGCCTAATAGTAATAGGTCACTTTTAAATATTTATGCCTAATTTTTAATAATGAATGTTATTTTAGTTTAAAAAGTGAGAGAGGATCCCGTTATCTAATTCTAAAATCTAAATCCTTAAACCCTAAAAATCATAGTAAAGTTAAAAGAAGTATCATATAGAAAATATAGATAGATCTATTCTATTCTATAGTATAATATGAGTATAGTATATTAAATATTATCTGAGTTATAGCTTAATGACTTAACTTAATGGATTTTGTTGCTCAACAAAATTGTATGAACCTAAAAATGCATTTTGTTGATTAATGATAATGAATTTCATTTCACTTTGCAAATTTAATGATTGCTTTATAATTATCATATGATTTATTCTCAATACATTGGGCTTTTTTGTTTGATAAGAACATATATTATACACTTGCAGAAGAAGATTCAGTGATTCTTCGAGGAATCTGGTTTGAAGAAGGCAGTTGGCAACCTCTTGAAGAATCATTTGCAAACCAAATTGAATCAGAGCATATGGCCAAGTTCCAAGGTCTTCGATTAGAAGAAGCTCCAGAATCACAGAAAGGACCTAAACCAGGTAAACTGAAGTGAACATTTTAATGTTTTAAAAATGGATAAATAGATTTTAATCTGTTAAAAACAATACGACTTTAAAAAACTGTCCAGTTAATGGGTGATAACTTTTTTCTATTTAGCGGTACAGTACATTAATTAGCTAGTGTATGACACTATTTATTTTTATTGATAACCCTCCTATCTAGTGGTACACAACCTCAGATTCAAAGACTTTCATGTTGACTGGAATGCCTCTAATGAAGTCCATAAATACAGTGAGAACACATCATCAAAACTCTTGCGCAATGTCAGGCAGAGTATGGGTTTGCAAAAATGTAAGTACTTTGGGGAGAATATTTATACAGGTGTTTGATAATGGAATCTTTTTTAAAAAAGGGGTGTTAGGTTACTGGTAGTTAACTAAATAAAACACACATGGCTGGCTAATGTCAATGCTAACCCTAACCCCAATCCTGGCCCTACCATACACCTAACCCTAATTTCTAACCATAAAATTAGTCGAGATTACAATACTACTAACAACCCAATACACCTATGTTATGGAAGAGTCTATTATTGGACATCAGTATCTATAATCATCCATACTTTGTTTTGCTTGTCACAATCTTATCTAATCTTAGTCTTCTTTGCTTATTCGACTTTCAGTGGAGCATACTCTTTTTACTACATGCTTTTCTGACTTTTGCAATTTTTACTGTTTCTGTCCAACTCTTTCCACTAATCTTCATGTCTTTTGCACTTTCTCAACACCATGGGTTTTTGGGTTTTCCTCTTTTTCTTGATCCGTGTGGATTCCATGATGATGTGCCTTGTCATGTAATACTTGTTTCCATTTTCCTCAATGAATGGCCTATGCTCCTCTACCTCCTTTTCCGAATTTCTTTCTCTACTGGGATTTGTCCTTTCCCATACTTTTGTAAAGTATTTTCTGCCGATATTTTAAACTAATAAATGAAATTTATGGAACAACTTCTAAAAAATGTTTTTATTTTTTACAGAGCGCAAATAATTCTGATGTTTTTTAGTTTCTTCAGTTATGATAAAAGATTAAGAACATTCTGATTAAACCGTGACAAGAATCTTGTTCAACTTAATTTTCCTAATTAACAAAGTTATTTTACTAAACTGTAAGCCCATCTTACAGCTTTGAACCTAAAAAACAAACTTTAGACTGCTGGGTTAGCAATCATCATATCACTTTGCCACCCCTCATATTTAAAAAAGAATGTATTAACAAACTTAGACTGTATCTAATGTAAATTTATTGCAGCTGGCAACCGACTGTTCAGAGGCTACTGTTATGAAGCAGTGATGGACGATAAGCCCCCTGACATAAACCATCTGGTGTTTGTCATTCACGGTATTGGCCAGAAGATGGACACAGGCAGCATTGTGCGATGTACCAAAGAGTGAGTAATCACAATGTTTATGTCAGATTTTTATGGCCTGCTTAGGTTTAACCACACATTTATGTCAGATTTATATGGCCTGCTTAGGTCTTAGGGTGGCAACAACCCCTAGGTAAGTTACTCCCTGGGTCATTAGGTCGCCCCCTCCTGGGACATAGACCGCTGATAAGCGCTTTCTAGGCATCTCTGTCCTGGGCTAGTCTTCCCAACTGTCCCCAAGTGTATTCAATCTTCTTGGTGTCCTCGTCCAGGTCATGTCCTCCCCGGGTAATGCTTGAGACTTGCTGTGAGAGCTCATTGGGTTACTGGTTTGAGAAACAATTGGCTAGTTTATTTTTGTCAAAGTCCACTTTTACATCATCAATGCGATTATGATGGCCAAATTATGTTTATTTTCTTAGTCTTAGAGACAGAGTAAAGTAAAATGGTAGAGCACTTGGCAGCTAACTTGTAAGACTTGAGTTTTGATTCTGGGCTTGTCTCTGAGTCCACTCTGCTCTGATGGATACATGACTCATGTTATGGAAAGTAAAAGTGACTGGTATACTGCCGACCACACTATCCTTTCATATGCAGAAATCATAGATCAACAGATGAGCTATATTTCCTCCATGGACTCACAATTTTTAAAAAAGAGTAACTTTTTATTATTTGCACATGATCACTGTGATTACAACTACTAATTGGTATGTTTTAATCCCACAGTCTAAGAGACAGAGTAAAATACATGAGAAGTAAAATGTTTCCAGACTTTGATTTGACCAACAAGAGGGCAGAGTTCTTGCCTGTGCAATGGAGGTCATCTTTGAAACTGGATGGTGGTAAGTAAATTTTGGCATCACATTTTCAACGTACTTTATCTCTGGTTAATATGCATATTGAGGTACTTTTCTTTGAATCCAGTTATCAGAATAATTAAATGCAATATGTTTTCTTAAATCAATAACAATACTTAAGTCAGTTAAACTTCACCTTAGCTCTTAAATACTAACACCATTATCTTTTTGTGTGTGTTTAAACATGGTACTTCCTGGTATAAAAAAATGAAGATTTACATTTTAAAAATTATTTTATATGTGATTCTGAGAAGTAATAGAAATACAGTTTATTATACGCTCATTAAGCAGTGTGTATTATGTATATAATAGATACTTTAGAAACAGTGATCCTTTATTAGTCTTGGTGTAATATGTATGTTACAGTATTACATATGTTACAGATATTGTATACCCTGTATTAGCCTGGGTGTCTTATGTTTGTTACAGATACTGTAGAAACAGTGACCCCACATAAAATGAAAGGTGTGAGGAATGTATTGAACAGCTCAGCTATGGATGTGTTATACTACACAAGCCCTCTGTACAGATTTGAGGTAATATCCAATTCTCTTTTTATCCACTATTTTATGCAGATCCTAGTCTATATTTTTCTCTCATTTATCCAATAAATTATACAGATCCTAATCTATATTCTTTACTCATTTATCCAATATTTCATATAGATCAGATGCTGTTTTCTTTACTCATTTATCCAATATAATTTACACAACAAATGTTTCCTCCTGTCTAGATTACCAACAGCTTAAAAACTGAACTGTGTCGACTCTATCAGATGTTCTGCTCTCGCCATCCTTACTTTGAACCCAGTGACGGCAAGGTGTCAATTGTTGCACATTCATTAGGTAAAAACAATCAGTTATAATTCCCCCCCCCCCCCCCTCTCTACTACAAGTCTGGGTTGATTTTAACTTGAATTTCTTTTCCATATTAGCTTTTTAATATAGTGTGGTAAAGAGTGAAACTTTTTCATCACCATCATCTCTTGTCACTAACGGCAGCTCTCCAGAGTTCTCTTTCCTTCCTGAGCATGGGCAGCCAACTACAGCTCTCCAGAGTTCTCAGGCCTTCTTAAGTATGAGCCGAGTTCTCTTTTCCTTTCAGGCAGCTGTTTAAGAATATTTGGCCCTCCTCCAATTCTCAACTGCATACAATATACTTAAACCTTCTAACATTTTTTTCATATTGAACTCAGTTTTAAACTGTATCTCTTGTTTTTACAAAAAAAAAATTATATATTTGGTAAAAGTTGGTACATTGTATCTAGTAAGAAAATAATTGGTTGCTCTTTTCTACTTTAAGAATTCTGTTGGCAATTTTTTAAATTTATTTGTTCTATGAGAAGCGAGTATGTGGGAATGCAAGCATGTATAAACATGATTTTTATAAAGCTAATTCACCATAGGTATTTAAGAATTCATTGGTTAATGTTTGTTGAACTGTTTCATCAGGCTCTGTGATATCCTACGACATCATCACTGGATGGAACCCATTGCACTTGTATGATCAGCTGATCACCTCATTGATTGTAAGTTTGAAAACAGTTAAAATCTTTGTTTGCCTAGATCAGTGATTCCCAAACTGTGTGACATTAGATGACTGTCATATGAGATAGATTTGCCAGTGGTAAATTTTTAAAGAGAGGTAACCAAAATAATCTAAGTTCTAAAAGACCTAAATAAAATAATAAAGGTGTGAGTGAAAAAACTAAAAGAAAGTGACATGCATGTTCTTATTCTTACAGCTGGGGTGGGAAGACTAGCAGAACTTAAATTACCATATGAGAAGAAAATGTATTGTGGGAATGTTGATATTGATATATATTTATAAAAAAATTAATTATTGTGGAAATCGTTAGAATTTACAACACTTGATTAAATTGTGTAGTGTAAGATATTTTAACATTGTGTAACTTTTATGGCTTTGACTAAACTGATGGTCCTCAATGTATTGATAGGATGAAGAGGAAGAAAAAGCTTGTGGTAATAGTGAAGTTCTGGAGGATGTGCAGGCAGCTAAAAATAAGTAAGATACATAACAATACATTGTATTATATATAACAATACATAAGACACACAACAATACATAAGATACATAACATTACATATGATACACAACAATACATATGATACATAACAAAATATAAACTACATAACAATACATAAGATACATAATATTACATATGATACATAACAATACATATGATACATAGTGTTACATAAGATACATCCCAATACATAAGATGTGTAACAATACATAAGATACATAACATTACATATGATACATAACAATATATTAGATACATAACAATACACAAGATTCAAAACAATACATAAGATATGTAACATTACATAAGATACATGATGTCACATAAGATACATAGTGTTACATAAGATACATAGCATTACATAAGATACATAACATTACATTAGATATATAATTTTACATAAGATACATAACATTACATAAGATACATAACTTTACATGAGATACATAATTATACATAATATACATAAAGTTACATAAGATACATAATGTTACATAACAATACATAATACATAACGTTACTACACACAAAGGTTTTCTTCTGTTCATTTGCATTAAAAATGACATCTTAATCCTAAGTATGGTGATCTCCTGCACAGGAGTCCCACAATTTTTAGCTATCAGCCTTTGACACAACCTTAAACATTCCATATCATAATGCCCATGTAACAATAAATACTTTTTATGAATTACCTAAAGAGTTAAAGATCTTGATGCGTTGATGAAATCTATTCAAGGCAAGCAAGGGAAAATTGTCAAGTCCATTCCATTCAATGTAAGCCATGTCATGTTTAAAATATTAATTTTAACCACAAATGTCCTTTCCTATTGTCTTTACATGGTGAGGCTGCTAATACAAAATTTGAAATACAATAATATTTTGCATTTTATGGGGGGGAGGGAGGGAACAAATAAAGGATTCACATCTATTCACAGATATACACTATTGTACAGACTTTCCCATTCCTATTAAATCTTTCAACGTTGTTAGAATGATAAACACTTTGTATACAACATAGGTGATCAACTACGAAAAAAAGTTTTTATGTTATTGAACACACCTCACCAATGGATAATAATAATGTTGATGATGATGATGAATGACTTGTGTTTGATTTGAATGAGGATAATGATGTAGGTGATGAAAATAAGATGATTGTGTAGCACAGCCGATAAGAGCTTGGCAATTGATATAAATCACCAAAGGTTATTCTGTCCAAGTTTGTCCTAAACAGCATAAAGAAAAAATGTTACTTAAAAAATGCAGTAAAGAATCTAGCAAAATAATGAAAAATAACATATTGTACTTAGATAAGTAAGCAACAACTTATAAAGTAAATTTATTGATATTATATTATATTTTTAAAATATCCAAACAATAATGAGTTATTTGTTAAGATAATATTATTCAAATGAAACCCAATCTTTTATATTTACTAAAGTGCTCATTTGAACTTGAAGGTCTGTGTGGCATGTGAAGTAGAGTTGACCTGTTTCTGTGACCTTGGCATATGAAAGGATAGTGTTGTCAGCACTATGCCCAGCTGCCTTAACTTTCTCTGACATGAGTCAGGTACCCATCAGAGCTGGGTGGACTCAGGGATGTCCTACAGACTCGAGCCCTAATTTGAACTTGATACTTTTGGGTTGCCAGTCAGATTCTCTGGTATATTACATATTATTTCCTAATAATCTCCTATGGGGTGGCGAGTCTTAGTGATAGAGAGTTAGACTGCAAACCCGAAACTCTCTGGTTCAAATGAGTAGAACACCCTTGAGTCAGTTTAGGGAAACAAAGGCGGCTGGTGATAGAGCTGACCACATTAACCCCTTGTATGTCAAGGTTATTGAAAAAGATCAGATACATTATTGTACAGACTTTCTCTTTTGTATTAATCAGCCCCACATGTCTTGGACACAAACAGGAAAAGATGACGATTATTTCCTAAGGCTAATCTTTTATATTATTATTTTTGCAGGTAGAAAACCTGTTCTGTATTGGCTCCCCTTTAGCTGTGTTTTTAGCTCTGAGGGGTGTCAGACCTGAGGGGAATGGTTCACAGAACCACATCCTCTCTACCTCACTATGCAAGCGCTTGTTCAACATTTTCCACCCATCAGACCCTGTTGTAAGTCATTTTAACAAGGGAGACAACTTTTTTACAATTTAGTGACATGGGAAATAACTTTTTGAAAGGGTCATTTTATGAATTACCATTTTTCCTTTTGGTTCTTTGCGAAGGATCAGGCCTCTGTTAAAGCTTTTCTTTCCCCACTGTCTCCTGCCACTCTTTTCAGCTATTCCTTATTCCTTACTATCCTTTGAGCCTCCTCCAGCATGTTACATTGCCATGTACTCATGGGTCAACCTCTGCAGTGTTTAAAGTACATGTTTATTTCTCATGCTGTTCATTAAATAAAGGAATTTAAAAACTAAGTTACAGATTCTAAGGCATATAAAAACTGAATGAGCAAAACCTTTTTAAAAGCTGCAGACCAAATGTTTCAGGAACAAATATTTTACAAGGAAGTAAATTCAATTATAATTTCACAAAGCTATGAAGGCAATAACATGTTTTGATACATTATTTAAAATAAGCTTAACCTTGGTATTCCCATTCTCTACTCAAATGGGTGTCAAATCAGGGTCTACTATACTTTATTTCTAGTAAACATGCTAACCATTAAACTACTTAATATTGCTAGGATTTCTCTGTTTTCCTTATACTAATTTACATAATTCTGTATCTTTTTTCCCCCTCATAGGCCTACCGTCTGGAGCCTTTAATTCTCAAGCATTATTCCACCATCATGCCTTTGCCAATCCACCATTTTTCTGCCCCCAAGAAGCTGCCTTATTCCATGTTTCCAGCCCGCGCCTATGCAGCATTGACAGGTACTGTTGATGAGTTGGGCAAAGAGAAGCCAACCAAAGAGGAGGACATTGGAGAGACTAGTGTGAAGGAGGGGGCTCAGAAATTCTCTCTTGGTGAGTGCTTTCTGTCTTTGTGTTTTATTACATGGGCTCTTCAAATCAAAGTTTTGCTTCAGTAAAAAAAATGTACGTTTGGTACTTGGGCTATTTGAAGTTAATTTCTGGAGTCGGGCTGTTTAAAGTTTTAGTTTTAGGAAAGAGGGTTGTTTAAAGCTTTCTTTTGAAACATAGACTGTTTAAAATTGACATTTGGAACATGTGCTATTTAAAGTTGACTGAAGGTGGATGAGCCTTATACATATGGGTGTTCAGAAAATAAGATCCCATATATACCTCTGTTCTACCAATGGTAGAGCGTTCACCTGCCAGCCCAAAGCTCTCGAGTTCGAATCTCGGTCCAGACTCAAGAGTGCAGGACATCCATTAAGAAAGTAAACGTGGCTGGGCATAGTGCTGACCATACCATCCCTTCAGTAAAGGTGGCTGGGCATAGTGCTGACCACACCATCCCTTCAGTAAAGGTGGCTGGGCATAGTGCTGACCACACCATCCCTTCAGTAAAGGCAGCGGGGCATAGTGCTGACAACACTATCCCTTCAGTAAAGGCAGCTGGGCATAGTGCTGACCACACAATCCCTTCAGTAAAGTCAGCTGGGCATAGTGCTGACCACACCATCCCTTCAGTAAAGGTGGCTGGGCATAGTGCTGACCACACAATCCCTTCAGTAAAGTCAGCTGGGCATAGTGCTGACCACACCATCCCTTCAGTAAAGGTGGCTGGGCATAGTGCTGACCACACCGTCCTTTCAGTAAAGGCGGCTGGGCATAGTGCTGACCACACCATCCCTTCAGTAAAGGTTGCTGGGCATAGTGCTGACCACACCATCCCTTCAGTAAGGGCGGCTGGGCATAGTGCTGACCACACCATCCCTTCAGTAAAGTCAGCTGGGCATAGTGCTGACCACACCATCCCTTCAGTAAAGGCGGCTGGACATAGTGCTGACCACACCATCCCTTCAGTAAAGGTGGCTGGGCATAGTGCTGACCACACCATCCCTTCAGTAAAGGTTGCTGGGCATAGTGCTGACCACACCATCCCTTCAGTAAAGGTTGCTGGGCATAGTGCTGACCACACAATCCCTTCAGTAAGGGCGGCTGGGCATAGTGCTGACCACACCATCCCTTCAGTAAAGTCAGCTGGGCATAGTGCTGACCACACCATCCCTTCAGTAAAGGTGGCTGGGCATAGTGCTGACCACACCATCCCTTCAGTAAAGGTTGCTGGGCATAGTGCTGACCACACCATCCCTTCAGTAAAGGCGGCTGGACATAGTGCTGACCACACCATCCCTTCAGTAAAGGTGGCTGGGCATAGTGCTGACCACACCATCCCTTCAGTAAAGGTTGCTGGGCATAGTGCTGACTACACCATCCCTTCAGTAAAGGTGGCTGGGCATAGTGCTGACCACACCATTCCTTCAGTAAAGGTGGCCGGGCATAGTGCTGACCACACCATCCCTTCAGTAAAGTCAGCTGGGCATAGTGCTGACCACACCATCCCTTCAGTAAAGGTGGCTGGGCATAGTGCTGACTAACACTTATGACAGCACTAGAGAGGCTAAAAAATACCTGCAGCAGAATTGTGCTGCAGTGGATCCTGGGCCACTGCCAGATCCAGGGTAACGAGATTGCAGACCAGCTGGCAAAAATTGGGGGAAAGAAACCACAACCGGAAATTTCGCTACACCCAAAAGAAATAAAAAGAATTATAAAAAACAAACAAACGCAAATGTGGTCTGTCACACACCCTCACTACATTAAAGACGACGGCTATTATAATTTAACACGAAAACAACAATACATAATCTTTCGACTTAGAACAGGCCACAACAGACTAAATCAACACATGCACAGAAAACTGAAGGTTGGGTGTAGCGAAATGTGCCCTTGTGGCAAGGCCCCGGAAAACACTGAGCACGTACTCCAGGAATGCACTTTGTATAGCCAGGCACGAGACAGACACTGGCCCCAGCCCACCCCACTCAGGGAAAAATTATATGGGGCACCTGACAAACTGGAGACCACAGTCCGGTTTGTCCACGAAGTTGGACTTGTTGTCTGAATCCTCCACCATATTCACAATTAAGAACGAAGAAGAAGAAGAAGTGCTGACTACACCATCTCTTCAGTAAAGGTGGCCGGGCATAGTGCTGACCACACCATCCCTTCAGTAAAGTCAGCTGGGCATAGTGCTGACCACACCATCCCTTCAGTAAAGGTGGCTGGGCATAGTGCTGACCACACAATCCCTTCAGTAAAGTCAGCTGGGCATAGTGCTGACCACACCATCCCTTCAGTAAAGGTGGCTGGGCATAGTGCTGACCACACCATCCCTTCAGTAAAGGCGGGCATAGTGCTGACCACATTATCCCTTTAGTAAAGGTGGCTGGGCATAGTGCTGACCACACCATCCCTTCAGTAAAGGTAGCTGGGCATAGTGCTGACCACACCATCCCTTCAGTAAAGGCGGCTGGGCATAGTGCTGACAACACCATCCCTTCAACTGCCTTAATTACTTTAAAGGCTGGGTTCCATTTGATAATATAATTTAAAAAATTAAATTCAAATATTTAAACCTGTTCTGTGATTACTATGATAAAATGTCTATGCAGCTCTTTATAAAAAAAAACCTTCCTTCCACAGCTAGTTTGTTCAGTTTTTAAAAAAAAAATCTTCCTTCCACAACTAGTTGGTTCAGTTTTTAAAAAAAATACTTCCTTCCACAACTAGTTGATTCAGTTTTTTTTTTTTAAAATTCTTCCTTCCACAGCTAGTTGGTTCAGTTTAAAAAAAAAAAATCATCCTTCCCCAGCTAGTTGGTTCAGTTTTTAAAAAAAAAAATCTTCCTTCCACATCTAGTTGGTTCAGTTTTAAAAAAAAATCTTCCTTCCACAGCTAGCTGGTTCAGCAACAGAAAGAAGAAAGATGTGGCTGAAAAACTGACAGCTGAGCTCCAACTGATGAACAAGAGGGGGAGTGAAGCTGCAGTCCCTTTACCTGATGCAGACAACTTGGACAAGACAGGTACGAAATGCTTTCATCTTTTCCATATGCATGCTGTTAACAAGATAACTGGTAACATCTGTGGTACAGTTTTTGTTTGGCCATGTCTTCAAAATCACACATGCTGCAGATTGTGGTGCGTTAAACACTAGATATTTCCCCAAGTCTAATTTTAAACTTAATCCCTTAAGGATTATGATATGTTTATTGCAGATTACCATGTTGTGTATATGGTCATTCCATAACAACCATATTTCTCTTGCATCTCATTATGTGTATAAGTATAAGAATCCCATATCAGATAACCCTTTAAGCTGTTTATTCAAATGCTTTTCAAATTTGATATTATGGATATTTGATCACAAAATTGCATTGATTATTTATGTTTCTTAATCCACTGGTAGGATACAAATTCTGAGGTTTAATCCCTAAATTGTCGTATTTAAAAAAAAACAAAGACCTCCTGCTCGTCTATAGATTTAATTTTTTTTAAATTCAGTTTTATGAGAATAAACAATTTGTCCATTTTCTAATCTCTAGTAAATGATTATTGATGTAAAATATTTGAATTTACATCTTCCATTATTATTATATTTTAATGAGTTATAATTTTATAAACCTTTGCAACACAGAAAATATTACCCAACACAATTTTTTTTTAAAATAAAAAGCAAATATTCAAAATTTACAAAGATATTTTTTGGATTTACCTAGTCAAACGGGAAAAACGTACCAATGGTAAGTTGCCAAGTCATGTGACATGGTATGTGCCAGCTCACTTGACACAACATGTCAGGTTGTGTTAAACAACTTTCCAGTGAACCAGATTCTTAAATCTTTTCCAGTTTATGTTTTTTATTTCTATATTTCTATTGCTTTAACTTTAAAAACTTTATTTGCGAATTATGCCTTTCTCTCAATTTAATTTGGCATACATTTAATATTAAGGGCAGCACAAATAAAGAATCCGTAAAAATAATTTGTGAATTAAACCAATGTAGAGTGAAACTTTATTTTAAATCTACAAAGATATCTCTCCTATTTAAGAATCCTTATTATTTGTTCTACTCCAAACAAATTGATGCTGTGTTGGATATCGTAAACATGTTTATGATGGATCAACGTTATCTTGATTTAAATTTGTTGTCAAAATAGTTTTTGACATCTTGGTGAGATTTTATTCTCCCTTTAATTAGCTCAAACAGTGTTGCCGAAGACCAATTTACAAGAGATAGTTTTTATCATGTTAGTGAGACGTAGGTGCCAGAGATTGCTAGTTCACCTTACCCCAGATTTAGCCTGATTCAGTGCTCTGATTTTTTGTCACAAAGTTATATTTTTGCATTATCACATTGAATTGTTATTATTATAATTATAGAAATCATTGATTAAATTACAATTATTTAAAACTTAACCAACTTTTTTTTTTTTTTCAGGAAATTGACATACTCTTTTAATTAATTATAATTGTCTCTTACCTTTTTAGAAATGATGTTTCATCTTTTTAGTAAGGATTTAAATTAATTAATTTGTGGGTTGACAAACATCCTATGAGTTGTTATACAAATACCAAATTATCATGGGTGTTGCGCTCTACAAAAAAAAACATATCCCTTTGCTTGTGTGGATCAGTTATCCTTTATAAAAACATATTGCAGTGGGTGGTTGGATTAGTTGTGCTAGAAGAAGCATATTGCCATGCTTGTTTGGATCAGTTTATCCTGTATGAAAACCTATTGCCATAGGTGGTTGGATCAGTTGCGCAGTACTTACTACAGTGGTCTATAATCTCCCTTTGTACAGCTACTTAAAAAATTAAGAAGCCTTCATAACCACATTACCCATGTATAATGTATGCTCTCTACACCCCCTGGGTATGTTGGTGTTACCATAACCGTTCTTCAAACAACACATACTACATTTCTTAGTATTTTTTATCAGAGAAATATTTAGATTTTTACAAAGTATTTCCCCCCTCCCCCCCCCCCCAAATAGCATGAGTGATAGATAATAAGTAGTAAATTTGAATGACCTTGGAATACAATTTTTCAATATTGGTTTCCTTATTTTCAAAGAATTTTCACACTTCAACTATCCTCAATTCAATGTCTCCTGCATAGACATAATGTGTATAAGTATATTCAGAGATGAAATACATATATACATCATTGCTATATTTTTATATCAACTTGGAAGGTGTAACTTCTTTGTATTTTTGCTGTTGATTTCTTTGAAGCCTTATTTTATTTGGACTTTAAAAATCCCACATAACCACAACAATGAAATTTTAATTTTATACATCCATGTTACAACTGTTTTCTATGGTAAAGAAGTTTGTTTTTCAACCCCACATACAATCTAGTGGAATGTTTTTACTCAATTTGCTTGACTCGAAGTATGTTCATGGTTATGGGTTGGTGGTTATGGCATATCTATATAACATTCTTTTTTTTTTTTGTTTTATGTTTAAATATTTCTGCCTACAAAATGCAACATATTGAACATATTATATATCTCCTTATGTAGTTTTCTTTCATTGTTAAGAATAATTAACATTAAATTACAAATTTAATGTTCTTGCTTTGTAAAATAATTTTAGATTAATGATTGGTTTTTACTTTTTGTTAACAGCTTTTAAAATAATAAACAGTAAATATGTAAATTAAACAGATAGATAGTTAAGGCTAAAACTCTGAAACAGCATAAAACAACATAAAAATAAGGCAATTTTTATTGAAATAAAAAATAATAGCTTTTTAAAATAGTTTTAGAATGTTATTTTTGGGGTGTATGTAGATCTTAGTTTACACTATGTTGTTACATTAGCTAGCTAGTAGCATTATCTCCCTTGAATGTTTTTAAAGTTAGAGTTCTTGATTTGCTTAACCTGTGAATGTTTTTCTGTGACTATTCCAGAGCTGGAGTACCGCATGGACTTCCAGCTGAGGGAGCAGAGAATGGAAAACAGCTACCTGTCAGTGCTCACCTCTCACACGTCCTACTGGCTCAACAAAGACATTTCATATTTCCTGCTCACACACTTGCATCCAGAGCTACAAGAAGGAGAAACACCATGAAACTGCTGCTGGTTTTATTTTATCTCACCATCTTCATCTTGATCAGAGCTAGTTTGTCCAGGGCGTCGAAAGGGAGATAATTAAAAGACCAAGGGACGTAATCATTGCTATCATCAAAATATATGAGTTATAAACTAAAACCATTTGAACCATCTCAATCAGCTACGTTCAGTAATTAAAAAAAAAAAAGATGCAGCTAAAACATGGCGTTTTGTCAAAATTTAATTTTGCAACTGTTTTATTAACAATTGCTTCAGTTCTTAAATTCAAACTTTAAAACAGGTTGTTTTGTTTTTCTTAAATGCATTTTAATTAAGTTCAATGGATTATTTTTTTTTTTTATTGATTTACCTGTTTCAGAAATTGTGAAAATTTGATCAATAATTGCAATGTAGAGCTGTTGAACAATGCAACAGATGGGATTTTAACCTTTTTTTTTTTTTTTTGTGTTAAGCTTTTTCATGTATGTGTAATGTTCCAAATGACAGCGCTCTCTATCCACATACCATTAGATCAATCATATTAGTACTGTGGCAGATGTCTCGATAGAAATATACCTTTTAAATAATCATTTAATATGCTGTTTTCAACTTTCTTTTGTGTAGATTACATTGATGCTGGAGCTTTCTTACTGCAAAAAATATATTTTCGATTGTCATGTTGTTTAAACTACTGCTTATATATATATATCTTATTTATTTCAGCATAATACGGGGAACATTTTGAAAATGAACTGCTAATATTTTTACTAATAATAACAGCTTTTGTTTTCTCTAGATTATTTTGTAACGTCTTTTCTAGTCGCTTTGTATTATTTTATTACTCAGTTTTTATTTGAAAAACCTAAAAATTTGTTACTACTAGTTACACAAATTTGTTTACAATTTTTTTATAAATTAATTTATCAGCGAAAAAGAAAGTACAGTTTTATAGCCTGATATATTTAAAATACTTAACCATTGTCACCTTGTTCGCAAAAGACCTAATTTAAATATCACATAGGGGTGGCCAATAATGATGCCACACTCCTAGGGGGAGGTTTCATAGTTTTGTGACAATGTGGGATGAGGGAGGGGGGGGGGGGGGGGGTGGTTCAGATAGTGTGATGTCACACTTTTGCAAAAATTGTCAAAAAAGCATAACTCCACTTAGGATGAACCATACTAGTTTAATGGGACTTTATGTTGAGTCAAACTTTACTAGCATAAATAACATAACTAATTTCTTATAAAGATTATGTTGTGGTCAGATGTTGTATACAAAAATAAGCGTAGAATCTTTGTTATTCTGTGATAAGCTTTAACTTATCTACCCTGTACATAATGGTGTAAAAACTCATTTGGCTGGTCTTTCGCTGTTATATAAGTTAATTGATGGTCTAAAGGCAGTTAAATGTTTGTGATATAGCCTGGTGCAAGGGGTCGGCCTCTTCTTTTTTGTGAATTATTCCTTCTTGAAGTGATTTGAAAAGCTGTGCTTAAAGTTATTATTCTATAGTCTTGATACCCAACTCTAGAAACTACATTACTTCTTCCTTTTCTTAGGGTGGCAGTTTTGTAGAAGATAAAATACATTAAAGAACATGTTTTAAATTCCAAGAAACATGGTGAGGGGTGGAAGCAGGCGTTGTAACTGAAATAGCAATGTAAACAGAAATTCTTCCTTGTGACAGTGGTCTGTCGTGAAAGCTCTATTTTTGTAGAGCTGATTGGCAGAAGTGGTTACACGTCTGACTTGGTGCCAATTTGGTGCCGTGTGGAATGGTAGGTTCGGATCCCGTTGGGTTCTGTCTGTTCTGTCTTTACTAGGACTATATTCTGTACCTTTGTCTACCCTTGGCGTTGAAATATCACTTTCTGTTTACATTGCAAATTCCAAGAAAGACAGATGGCCGACCCCCTTGGTCATTTTTAATATTGCAGCCTGCCTAGTTGTGTTCTATAAAAGCATTGCGCATTGTTTCTAGTCCAGATAGTTAGAGCTGTAGATGATACATTCTTGTGGGGCAGTTTCTCGTAGTGGCTTATGAACTTTATTCTGTGATTTTTTATTGTGTTTCTGTGATTGACAATCTTTCAATATATTTCAATGAATTTTTTGATCACCTTCATGATTGCTAAATTTAAACTTACTTCCCCCTAAAACTTATCTCCCTTATTGCTAGCAAAGCAATGTAAGGGTCAACGTTTGACTACTGTTATAGCTGATTGTAGTCATTTATTTAAGATGGTATCTCTAAGAACTAAAAAAGTACCAAAAATTACTTTCTTCTTTTAATGTATTGATTTAAACACTTGCCAGATTTTTAACTGTTGTAGATGCCACCAAAATAACAACCAACTAAAATGTGGCAATAATTTTCTTTTGTTTTTATGTTCTTTCTATTTTACTTTTTCATTTCTTTACATTAACATTTGCACAACTTGTTATACCATGAAAAAATGAAGCTAAAATGTGTTTTAATTTTTTTAAACTATTTATGCTATTTTGGTTTTATTTATTATAAAATATCTATGTATTCTACAAATCAAACTTTTTACTAAAATTAGATGTAATTATTTTTTTAAAACATGTATGATCTCTTGAGATTACCTTAAACTATTTGTGCTATTGATAAGGATGAGATCCTTATCGGAGAATATTGTTGCTAATATGCTTAGGCTATGATTGCTAATAAATGTTTAGGCCTGTGGGCTATGTGTTCAAACTATGTGCAATCTGATTGGGGCAGCAGTATCCAAGTCTTCTGAGCTGAAGTTTAAAAAAACAAAGACTTAGTTTTGTACCCTGTGCATTTTTAATTTGATGTTGATATTGCTCACTCTTCATGTAATTAGTCTTCGTAGCCGGAATGGGTTGTGGGCATAGGTTGGAGGAAAAATAATCCCATAGTCTAATATATTAACACTAGGGTTATTTTTAGAACCTGAGGTTAATAGTGCCTCAACACATATGTGTAATGTTCATTTACACAACTTTAATGTACCAGGTTTTTTTTTAATTGAAAAATGTATTCATTAGCAAATTAGTGAGTTAATTATTTTAAAGTGTGCTACAGGTTTTGTTGTCAGGTTTATGTTTATAAATTTAATTTTGATGTACTATTACTAAATCTACTTTCATTGTTGGAAAAGCTCGCTGTTTGCCAAAATGTATGCACAAGAGTATTTTTGTTGGCATTCTACAAGAAAGAGGAATAAATTGTCAATAAATTTATTTTTTAAAGTTCTAGTGAATTTTGATTAGGGGTGAGTTCTTTGTAAACTGTGTAGAACGCAAGTTTTTTCAATTGTTCAATATTGATTTGCATCATCTATTTATGTGATAACCATTCCATCTTGACCAGACTACTAGATTTTATTTATGAAGAAAATCTATCTATATACAATTTTTTATTTATTAATAACTTTTTGCCATTAATTTCTTTTTTTTTTGGTTTGCAATCAATTCTGCTGATTTAATACTATTGACTTTTCCCCCCAGTATTTTTGTTGTCTATGCTTTTGTTGACCCCCTCCTCCCAACAATATACCAACCTTATATTTTGTAAATCCTGTTTAACTTAAATTATAAAGTACATTGGAGCACACTTCTTAAGTGAGAAATCAAATACACCAATTTGTTCCTTATTTAAAAATAATGAAAGAATGATAACATTTTGATCAATTCTCTATAGGTTATGGTTTTTAGATAACTATTTATAGGCTGGTGAACTTTAACTAATTAAGGAATCATTTAATAAATTATTTAGCTGGAAAACATTACATAGTTAGATAAGCTCTATTTTTATATTTTATATTTTAAAGTTAAAGACCAATTTCTTTCTAATAAATTCCTATATCTAATGCAAGAAGCTGCATTTAATATTTAGTATATGGTTTGAAGATATAGGCTTGTGAATCATTTTATTACGTAAATGATTTCAACCCAGCTTGGATAATGCTAAAAGTCTCCTATATGTTTGCTGGCTGCTCTATATTTTGATGCTTTAGTTTAGGCTCATTCCTATGTACTACAAAAAAAAATTGTTTTTAAAACTACCTGAAGTTTTAGACAAGGTTAAAGATTAGGGTTAGGGTAGCAAAGCCGTTGAAAATATTTAATAACTTTAACAAAACAAACTACCAGTAGTAGCATCTATATATATATAATTCTCTTCTGGGAGACGCTAGAAAACAAGCTGTAAACGCGCTCCCTACCACCCCACCCCTACATGGTCTTAGTGAGCTGTGTTCACTGTAAATGTTTACAAGCAGAGCTGGGTTTAGTGACGACTATTAGGGGCAGATAATTTAGTTTGAAACGATTTTAAACGAAGGGGAGGGGGGGGGGGGGGGGGTTATGGTCCTTAACGAGCTACTTATAGTGTTTTAAAGAAATATTTTCAGTGGCAGCGTTGGTACTGTCGAATTCACAAATTATGAATTACTGAAAAGTAGAAAAAACAACAACTAAATAGCGGCGTATGTTATGCCGCGGGCCGGCTCGTTCCTAAATAAATCTTAACCGGATCTAAAGAAATTAATGTTAAAAGTAAAAAAAGTTACTCGTTTTGATAACGGGATTTTTAGTGCTCTAATAGTCTTGTTACATTTGGATACGTTATATGGGGAGCTATAACCAAGTATTATTTTGAACTAGTCATCTTTTTTAAATGAAATTTTTCATTCTTAAATAATATTTAAATATAATGGTTCTTGTAAAATCAGAATTGTTGTAGCACATTTAAGGTTAGGATAGCAAAGCTGTTGATAATCTTATTAACTTAAATAAAACATCCTGCCACTGGTAGTTTTCCTAAATAAATCTTAACCGGATCTAAAGAAGTTAAAACTAAAAAAAGTAACCCTTTTAGATCTGGTGGTCAATAGTGCAGATGAAGTAGAGTTTGGTCTAAAAAAAGGGGTGAGTTCTCGTAACTTTGGGTTGCAATACATTGAGAAGAGCTCCCAACTCAAATAAATATATATATATATTTTGTAACTATACTTCATCTAGATCTATATACTTGTATTTAAACAGTTTTTTTGTTAACTTTCCATTTTTGCCTTGCAATCAATATTGTTGATATTTTATCCTTGATGCTTTCATATTTCTTCATTCCTCTCCCTCCCTTTCCATCTAAAACTCTATACTTTATTATGTATGACTATGAATGTTTATTCTTATATATAACAGATTTAAAAGCCAAACTGTTATATTGGCCAATAGCATTAATTTTTAATCAGGGCCAACTATTTCCTCATATTTCCATTTGGCTAAAATTTTCACAATTTTTCTGTTTTTGCTTTGCTTTGTTGATGAAAATTTTCTGCTAAAGCTTTAAAATATTAGATAGCTTTGGGTAACGGATTTTGTTACTCCTTTTTATTATTCAGATTTAAAATTTAATGTGTACATTCCTCCTTAGTGTATATAAGTGGGTAGACTATGTTCTAAGCTTACTGAACTTTATTTTATCTAAGGCCCAAAGTATGATTAATCACATGTATTGTATGAAATATCGACTTGATGTTGCGCTGGTTAGATTTTGCTTTTTAACTTTATACTTCAATGAACCATTTGCTTAAGACTTTTTTCTTTTGTAAATAAAACTGTCAAATAAAAAACATCATCAAAATAAGAAAACAAAAGTTTTAGCAGAAAATGTTCATAACAGTATAAAAAAAAGCCCTAGTCAAATTAATTTCATTTTTACCCCTGGCACAATCTTTCCGCTTTGAGATGTCAGCCGTGTTTCTTCCAGACTTTTTTCTCTGGGGTGGGGCACTTGAAATTCTCGGTGGGGGGGGGGGGGGGGGGGCCACAGTTAAAAGTATATATTTTCTATATAAATTCCATTTCGTTTGGGGTGGGGGTCCACATGCCTGGAAGAAACACTGGATGACAGTCATTGTGAAATTTTAAGAAAATTCAAAGTAACTATTTTTGTAACAGCGCAGCTTCCATTTTTTTGTAAAGTTTTACTTTGTTACATTTGATTTTAATATTATAATAAATATTCATTTTAAAAATA